AAGGAGCACAGGTATTTCTGAATTAAATTTTAAGGAAAAAATATTTATTTTCAGCTTAACCTTTCCCTGTGTGAAAGCCTGGGAACAACAAGTAGCTTCACCAGCCCATGCCACCTAGAAACCTGCAGGTTGGATGAAAACCCAAATGAATCCATTTCAAGATAATTTTAGGTCTTTATTTTCAAATAATCAAAGTGAGGAGAGTGCACTCTGCCCTAAATTGAATATTGTGAATAAATCTTCAAAATTGAACTACAATAAAAGTGTTAATGCTGCATCCAGGTTAAAACAAAACGTAGTCGACGTAATGCCAGGTGGTGTGCTTCCCCTCATGACCTGCTCAACTATCTCTTCAAGTAAGTAGCTTCAATTATTAATTTCAAGAAAATAGACGAATCAATCACAATTTTTTCAGAGCATTCCAGAAGATGGTGGACTGAACCCAGAGCAATTGGGATGAATTTTCTAGAACAGCTTTATTTTCTTTGTGGTCTAAATCTCACATGACACAAATATATCATCCTTTGTGAACTGATGTATGAGAAGAAAGGTATCCTAATGAATTTTCACCCAATTGCATGGTAAGTCTCTTTAAGTGCCAGGGTCTTTAATACAATCAACTTGATTTGTGATTATTCAGTTAAGCCCATAAAGCACACAAGAACAGCAATACTGAGTCAGACCAATGGTCCATCTAGCCCAGCGTCCTGTCTTCTGACAGTGGCCAATGCCGGGTGCTTCAAAGGGAATGAACAGAGCAGGTAATCGTCAAGGGATCCATCCTCTATTGCCCATTCCCAGCATCTGGCAACAGCAGCTAGGGACACTTAGAGCATGGTGTTGCATCCCTGCCCATCCTGGCTGATAGCCATTGAAGGACCTAACCCCAAAAAACGTATCTAGTTCTTTTTTGAACCCTGTTATAGCTTTGGCCTTCACAACATCCCTCGGCAAAAAAGTTCCAGAGTTTGTGTGTTGTGTGAAGAAATATTTCCTTTCTTTTTGTTTTAAACCTGCTGGCTGTTAATTTCATTTGATGACCCCTAGTTCTTGTGCTATGTGAAGGTGTAAATAACACTTCCTTATTCACTTCCTCCACACCAGGCAAGATTTTATAGAGCTCGATCATCTTCCCCGTTAGGCACCTCTTTTCTAAGCTGAAAATTCCCAGTCTTTTTAATCTCTCCTCAGATGGAATCTGTTCCAAAACCCTAATAATTTCTGTTGCCCTTCTCTGTACCTTTTCCAATTCTAGTATACCTTTATTGAGCTGGTGCAACCAGAACTACATGCAGTATTAAAAGTGTGGGCACACCATGGATGTACCGTATATAATAAAAGTGGAGGAGTTTAGTTTGACAGACTGTTCAACAAAGCCAATGCCATCAACCTACATGAAAAGGCTGCAAAAGACCAAGCCTCGGGACTGCAACGACACACCGAAAGTCTTATAAGCCAGTCACTGTCAAAGCCAATTTTAGAAGCACTTAACGAGGCTGTTAAGAATGCTGGAGACACAACATAGTTTATGGGAACAAACATGGCTGTCGCATCATCCTCTCTCTTTAAGCAAGAGATACCACAAACTAGAAACTGGAGGCCAATGTTAAGTGCATTGTCACTTGTTAATTCTGAAGCTGGCCACTGGTTCTGACCAAAACCAGCAAATGCTCACTATCTTTCTGCAAGAAACTCAGCTGACTGGCTAGAAGCACGCGGTGCAACAGTGAAAGACTCAGCAGTTGAAAAAGTGAAGGACTCTCTCCCTACATTCAGAAAATGTGCTCACATGGCTGATGAACGCACCGATGGAAATGGGTTCAAGTTTTAAGTCATTGCCTATCTTATCTTGACGTCAGTGGTAGGCCAATGGATGCATTTCTAGATGTTCAGATTATAGAAGACACATCATCTGCATCTCTGACAACCCACATCTTGGAAGAATTAAATGCTTGTAAATTGAACCCCAACGAGATGGCTCTTTGTGCATTTGATGGAGCTGCAAACTTCTCTGGAAGACATGGCTTTGCTCAGAGAAAAGAAGCATAACATAGCCCTAATCGCTCTTATACTCACCGCAGAGGCCTTCTACTCTAACTAGCACTAGTATGAGCTGCAGAATGTTCAAAAGACATTTTTAAAACCATAAATGTAATGTTTTTGTTATACTCCTTTCTTCCAGCAAGAGTCCAAAAGGACTGAAAGTCTTGGAAAAAATAGAAGACACACTGGGATTAACGTTCAGATGAGTCCTACCTGGGAAAACCTGCTGACTTTCTCATGAGTGATCCTTGTCTGTTGTCTTAAAATTACTGCAACCATTATTACTGGCTTTGGAAAGTATCTGCTGAGATGGGACAGATTTGAGTGGTGAGGTAGGTGGACTACTTTTGCTACTAAATTCAGATAAAACTATCGCCATTCTTTCTCTTTTCAGAGTAACAGCCGTGTTAGTCTGTATTCGCAAAAAGAAAAGGAGTACTTGTGGCACCTTAGAGACTAACCAATTTATTTGAGCATGAGCTTTCGTGAGCTACAGCTCACTTCATCAGATGCATACCGTGGAAACTGTAGCAGACTTTATATACACACAGAGAATATGAAACAATACCTCCTCCCACCCCACTGTCCTGCTGGTAATAGCTTATCTAAAGTGATCATCAGGTGGGCCATTTCCAGCACAAATCCAGGTTTTCTCACCCTCCACCCCCCCACACAAATTCACTCTCCTGCGGGTGATAGCCCATCCAAAGTGACAACTCTTTACACAATGTGCATGATAATCAAGTCGGGCTATTTCCTGCACAAATCCAGGTTTTCTCACATCCCCCCCACCCCCATACACACACAAACTCACTCTCCTGCTGGTAATAGCTCATCCAAACTGACCACTCTCCAAGTTTAAATCCAAGTTAAACCAGAACATCTGGGGGGGGGGGGGGGGGTAGGAAAAAACAAGAGGAAACAGGCTACCTTGCATAATGACTTAGCCACTCCCAGTCTCTATTTAAGCCTAAATTAATAGTATCCAATTTGCAAATGAATTCCAATTCAGAAGTTTCTCGCTGGAGTCTGGATTTGAAGTTTTTTTGTTTTAAGATAGCGACCTTCATGTCTGTGATTGCGTGACCAGAGAGATTGAAGTGTTCTCCGACTGGTTTATGAATGTTATAATTCTTGACATCTGATTTGTGTCCATTTGTTCTTTTACGTAGAGACTGTCCCCAGATGTTCTGGTTTAACTTGGATTTAAACTTGGAGAGTGGTCAGTTTGGATGAGCTATTACCAGCAGGAGAGTGAGTTTGTGTGTGTATGGGGGTGGGGGGGATGTGAGAAAACCTGGATTTGTGCAGGAAATAGCCCGACTTGATTATCATGCACATTGTGTAAAGAGTTGTCACTTTGGATGGGCTATCACCAGCAGGAGAGTGAATTTGTGTGGGGGGGTGGAGGGTGAGAAAACCTGGATTTGTGCTGGAAATGGCCCACCTGATGATCACTTTAGATAAGCTATTACCAGCAGGACAGTGGGGTGGGAGGAGGTATTGTTTCATATTCTCTGTGTATATATAAAGTCTGCTACAGTTTCCACGGTATGCATCCGATGAAGTGAGCTGTAGCTCACGAAAGCTCATGCTCAAATAAATTGGTTAGTCTCTAAGGTGCCACAAGTACTCCTATTCTTTCTCTTGTAAGTCTACTGTTGCAACCACTTTGGTCATTAAACAATGCCATCCAGGCATCTGCTACAACAGTACTAGATCTCTGTCCAGCAATAGAAGCTACATTTGATTCAATCAGTTGAAAACCTATTGGCAGAAGCAAAGACTTCAGTCTAGAAGTTGACTTACAAAGGCACTTAAGTGAAGTCTTCTTAAGTGAAGAGGACAGAAAGTGTTTGTTAAACCAGCTGAAATAGTACACAGACTTGATTTTTACGAATCTACAACAGTGACTTCTGGATTCTACTTAACCTCTACATAGCTTTTACAGGTGCCTGTCTTATAAAATGCTCACAGTTGAGTGGAGTGAGGCACGACCAGCAGTGGGGCTGCCATGTGCCCAGGACAGAATAGAGAATTTGAACACAGACTGGAATATCATATGACAAACAGATTAAGATTTGACTTCAACTTCTTCTTTATCATCACTAGTGGTTTGACCCACTTTTTGTGCTATGTTTCCCGGGGTGAAAGAAGTAGGAATTCATCTCTTGCTACTCCCAGTCACAAGAGCTACAGTTGAATGTTATTTTCCCTCACTGAATAGTATTTTGTGTTCTGAAAGGAGTCACGTTCTGCCTGATCATGAGCATATCGTGAGGGACTGGAAGTACTGGAAACATGAGAAGTCAGCAAATATGAACTCACTGCACTCAAGAAGTTCATTAACAGAGTTGTGCAAAATTACAAGAAGCCAAGAAGGATGTAGGTATAGTGCTTCATAGAAGGCTTGAGTAGTCACTTTAATTTGTGTGATGATTTTAAAACATGAGTTAAATCTAATAAAATGGTTGTGAAACATTTTTCAATTTTTACTATGGTGCCATACAGCAGCCCCCACAGTAGATTTGCCCACTCTGAATTGGTTCCCGACTGACCGGTAGCAGTCAGGTGTTACAAGCTTCCACAAAGCTATTGCCACTCACTTCTCAACTGTCAGGTCAGCTCTCATCTTGGTATTCCTGCACTTCAGGGCGGGGGAAAGCAACTCACAAAGTTCCATGAAAGTGGCCTTATGCATGCAAAAGTTTCGCAGCCATTAGGAATCATCCCATACCTGACAGGTTTCAGAGTAACAGCCATGTTAGTCTGTATTTGCAAAAAGAAAAGGAGGACTTGTGGCACCTTAGAGACTAACCAATTTATTTGAGCATAAGCTTTCATGAGCTACACTTTGATCACTTTGATGAAGTGAGCTGTAGCTCACGAAAGCTTATGCTCAAATAAATTGGTTAGTCTCTAAGGTGCCACAAGTCCTCCTTTTCTTCATCCCATACCTGCAACACTATGTGGTCCCACCAGTCTGTGCTTGTTTGCTAGGCCCAGAATCGCCGTTCCACTGTATCAACATGCCCCAATGCCACCATGATATGCCAATTGTCACATCCCGTGCTTTCAGGAATATCTGTGTCCGTGTCCTCGTCACAATCTTCCTCGTGGTGGCAGCTCCTAGCTAGGCTCTGCACATACTGCAGGATAATGTGCGAGGTGTTTGCAATGTTCACAAAAGCAGTGTGCAGCTGAGTGGGCTCCAGGCTTGCTGTGCTAAGGCATCTGCACGGAGAACCTAGGAAAAAAGGAGCGAAACGATTGTTTGCCATTGCTCTCTAGGAGGGAGGAAGGGAGAAGAGGAGACTAACATGTACCCAAAACCACCCGTGACAATGTTTTTGCTCCATCAGGCATTGGGAGCTTAACCCAGAATTCCAGTGGGCAGCGGGGACTGTGGGATAGCTACCGATGGTGCACCACTCTGAGAGTCGATACTAGCCACGTTATTGAGGATGCATTCCACCAACCTAATGCGCTTAGTGGGGTCATGCATGATCGGCTGTATAAAATCAGTTGCTAAAGATTGTCTTCTATAAAATCGACCTAATTTCGTAGTGTAGACATGCCCTTATACTGAACACATCTGGTGTGAGGGTATCTGTCTTAGAAGGAACCTCTGTAGCCAGTCCATATCTGGGATAGATGCCTGTTACGATGTCAGAAATAAACTAGTGCCAGAGGAGAACGGAAACTGAAGGAAGAAAGCAACAGACATGTAAATAGAAGGGAAAAAAACCAACAAAGTTTGCAGGATCTCATCAGCATGCCACTTTTAAATGCCCCAGAGAACTTCAGCTTTGACAAACCTTCAGAATGGACAGACTAGAAACATATTTTGCAAGATTGTACATTGAAACAAACTCCACAAGGAAACTGGACCTATACAAGTATCTTCTTTAATTTATGCTATGGAGAAGCAGGCAGAACATAGCCTTAAATCCTTTGACTTTACTGAAAATAGTCACAAAGATGACTACGAAAGGCTTTGCTGCATACTTTATACTGCAGAGAAACATGATTTATGAAAGAGCATGTTTCCACCAGAGAATTCAAGCACCAGGGGACAATATTGACTGTTTTATAAGAGTTCTGCATACGTTGGCTGAAAACTGTCATGCTGAAACTGTACAACATGAAAATATCAGAGATAGGCTGGTTATTGGGTTAAAAAATAAAAACCTTTCACAGCAGCTACAGCAGAAGAGAGATTTAACCCTAGCCACAGCTATACAGGAAACAAAGCTTTCTGAACTAATCAAGCAGCAGAACAAAAGGCAGGACAAACTTGAAACCCGCAAAACTAGCTTAGAAGCTGCAAACAGAAACTTGAATGCTAAAAGTCTATCATAAAATGCCAGAGGCAAGGAGACAGAACTTCCAACTAAGAGGGACAAATTCCAGCCTACATGTACAAGGTGTGGTAAAAGTCATAGCCTGAGAGATGCATATCAACCCAGAGGTGGAAGGTGTAATAAATGCACAAAATATTAATAATTTTGCAGCTGCTTCCTGCACCAGTGCAGTCAGAGGTTTGACTAACATTACAGAGAATCAAGAGCCATTGTTTCTGGGATCTTTCACTTGTGACAACACAGAATCTGCCTGGAGAGTAAAACTGGATATTTATAGCAAGACTATTGACTTAAAAATTGATTCAGAAGCTGATGTCACAGCCATTTCAGAAGGGACTTACATTCAGCCCCTCCCAGAGCTGAAGTCAGCTGACACAGCTCTGATTAGCTCTGGAGGGATTCTGAACTGCGTGGACAAGTTCACCATAGAAACAATTTACAAAGACAAAGGCTATGCATTCAGAGTGAATGTGTTCAACAGATTGAAGACCAAGAACCTTCTGAGCTGCACTTTGGCAGTCAGGATGAGCCCAATGAGAAAGAACTCAATGGACGATTTAATGATAGTTAACTTTTGAATGGAGATCCAGTCTAAATCAAGTGGAGACAACACAGAAACAGTGTACAAAAATCCCTATCAGAGAGACTAGTCTTGGAATAGACAAGCTGCAGATTTGTGCAAATTCAAAGTATATTATTACCTGGTTATCATGGACTACTTTCCAGGTATATAGAAATGATGGAAGGTAATATCGATGGTGAGCGTTCAGCTGTTGTGACCTGCACAGTTTGTGCCATGTTTGTCTTTCTGCCACAGGACAGAAGTGACTTTGTCTGTACGAAGTGCAAGCTGGTCTCCATATTGAAAGAGAAGGTTCAAGGTCTGGAGAAACAAGTATCGACCCTGTGTTGGGTAAGAGAAACGGAAGATTTCCTGGACAGACGTCAGGATATGCTTCTACGGACACAACGTTCTGAAGATTCAGAGCAGGCTGCGCAGCGGGGACAGGAGGACGGTGAAGAAAATTGGCAGCACGTGACCGCCAGAAGAAGAAAGGGGAGCGTCCATGTACCAGCAATGCAGATACAGGTAAGTAACCGTTTTCATGTTCTCTCCAGAGTTACTAACACGGAGAGTGGACTAGATGATACATCTGAGGGAAGGGAGCAGAAGGAGACTCCGCCGATTGGAAGGCATGAGATGCACTGTCCTAGGGATGGGGGTTCCACGACCACCGCTCCCAAGAGAAGGAGGTGGGTGGGGACTCTCTCCTCAGGGGGACTGAGTCATCTATCTGTCCTCCCAACCGGGAAAACCGAGAAGTCTGCTGCTTGCCAGGAGCCAGAATTCACGATGTGACGGAGAGACTGCCGAGACTCATCAAGTCTTCGGATCGCTGCCCCTTCCTGCTTCTCCATGTGGGCACCAATGATACTGCCAAGAATGACCTTGAGCAGATCACTGCAGACTACGTGGCTCTGGGAAGAAGGATAAAGGAGTTTGAGGTGCAAGTGGTCTTCTCGTCCATCCTCCCCGTTGAAGGAAAAGACCTGGTTAGAGACCATTGAACCGTGGAAGTCAACGAATGGCTACGCAGGTGGTGTCGGAGAGAAGGCTTTGGATTCTTTGACCATGGGATGGTGTTCCAAGAAGGAGGTGTGCTAGGCAGAGACGGGCTCCACCTAACAAAGAGGAGGAAGAGCATCTATGCAAGCAGGCTGGCTAACCTAGTGAGGAGGGCTTTAAACTAGGTTCACCAGGGGAAGGAGACCAAAGCCCTGAGGTGAGTGGTGAAGTGGGATACCAGGAAGAAGCAAGAGCAGGAGAGTGCGAGACGGGAGGGCTCCTGCCTTTTACTGAGAAAGCAGGACGATCAGCGAGTTATCTTAAGTGCCTATACACAAATGCAAGAAGCCTGGGAAACAAGCAGGGAGAAGTGGAAGTCCTGGCACAGTCAAGGAATTATGATGTGATTGGAATAACAGAGACTTGGTGGGATAACTCACATGACTGGAGTACTGTCATGGATGGATATAAACTGTTCAGGAAGGACAGGCAGGGCAGAAAAGGTGGGGGAGTTGCACTGTATGTAAAAGAGCAGTACAACTGCTCAGAGCTCTGGTATGAACCTGCAGAAAAACCTGAGAGTCTCTGGATTAAGTTTAGAAGTGTGAGCAACAAGGGTGATGTCGTGGTGGGAGTCTGCAATAGACCACCGGACCAGGAGGATGAGGTGGACGAGGCTTTCTTCAGGCATCTAAATGAAGTTACTAGATCAAAGGGCCTGGTTCTCATGGGGGACTTCAATCACCCTAATATCTGCTGGGAGAGCAATTCAGCAGTGCACAGAGAATCCAGGAAGTTTTTGGAGAGGGTAGGGGACAATTTCCTGGTGCAAATGCTGGAGGAACCAACTAGGAGCAGAGCTCTTCTTGACCTGCTGCTCACAAACCGGGAAGAATTAGTAGGGGAAGGAAAAGTGGATGGGAACCTGGGAGGCAGTGACCATGAGATGGTCGAGTTCAGGATCCTGACACAAGGAAGAAAGGAGAGCAGCAGAATACGTGGAAGCATGGGGCCCAGGACAGCCCGGAGGGTTAGTGGGGGCCTGGCACCAGCAGCAGGGGTCGGGCCTGACCCCGCAGTCACCAGCGGGAAGCAGGGTGACCCGGCCCCAGCCTGCTCCAGTCCGCCGTCTCCCAGCATCACTCGGAGAAGGGGGCTTGGGGGAAGGGTGGAATGGGGGCAGAGCAGGGATGGGAAGAGGTGGGGCAGGGGCAGAGCAGGGGCAGAAGCTTGGGGAGGGTTGGAGGGGGGTGGAGCAGGGGCAGGAAGAGGGAGGGGCATGCTCTGGCATGGAGTGGGGGTTGTCACAGGCCCCGCACCCCCCCAGGGATGGCCCTGGTGGCATTAACCAGGTAACCTCTCCTCCCAGCGTCTGCATATTCACGTCACCATAATTTGGGGCACCACCGGGACAGCAAGTAAGGGATGGCCCTGGGTGTTGCAGACTCCGGTGAGGTGAGGATGCAGGGTGCTCCTGCTCATTGTCAGGCCCGGTCTGGAGCTGTCTCCCAACCCCAGGGCTGCACATATGCAAGAAGACCATCTTCCCTCTTAGGGTCAACCTGATGCCCTCACCCCCGGGACTGAGTCCTTCTCCAGCCCCCTTTCCTGAAGGGCTGTAATGTGGGCTCTGTGGGTTGAGAAAATCCTCCCTCTGTCCAGGTGTCCCTAATACCAGCAGCATTCTTTCCGCTGCTTCCGTTGTGCTGCCAGGCAAGGGGAAGACACCCCCCAGCCCCAGCCAGCCGGGTCATTTCCATCTTCACACAGATGCCTGTTCAGCATGAAGGCTCCTTGGATTCAAATCCTTGGCTGTTACGGAGGCAGGGGCTGAATTTTGCCTTAAAGAGATACCGTCCTTTTCCACAAGTATGTCAAAATGGATGCCTGGTGAATCCCAACCCTCGCTCCTCCAGGGATCAGATGTGCCTGAGCCCAGCAAGGTAAAACAGGACATAGGCACTGGGGCCTGGAGGGAGAGCCCGTCTGCCACCACCCCATGTCCCCAAGGGGTTGGCTGTGTGACTGCTTTCCTCTGAACGGTCAGCGACACCGTTCACTCTCTGAGTCTGAGTTCCAGGCTGCTTGCCTGGCGGGGTGGGGGGGGGAAGTAGAGGCTGAGTCAGCCCCCCTGAGTGGGGCATCCATCCCCAAGTGACCAGCATGAGGACATGCCTGTGCTCACAACATGACTCGCCAGGGTGCTGCCTGGGCACACTCACTTGCTGAGAGGGTTGGTCAGGGCTTTGGTTCTCTCCCACTGGAGCTTTCCTAGACAATTTTCCGTCTTCTTTAAAAGGCCTTTCCCTGTTTTCCTTTCCTGGGGCCCCCTCTAAGCCACCATCCCTGGTGCTCTCTTGGGCCAGGGCTATGCTTTCCTCAACTGCAAAACTCTGGCTGTGAACAACTGGAACAGCTTGTTCAGTGGCAGGCACCTCTTCCACCCCTTTGTCTCTGAGGGCACGGGGCAGGCTGCCTTCTGCTGCGCTGCAGGAGTTCATCTCCCCACCTCCCTTTGCTGCTGGAGACACGCTGCTTCTTTCCACTGCCGGGGTGTCAAAGAGACTTTCTCTGTCGCTCTGAGTAGCTTCTGGGATTTCCCCCCTTCTCCCTGGGATCTCAGCACAAAGATGCACTTTGGCTGCAAGTGACCACATCCACACCCTTAGTCACATCAAACAATAATTCCCAATAAGGAACTCAGCGGGGATGTCATCCACCGCCCCCACTTGTCAATCACTTTGTAAAGCATCTTCTTCTTTGTGCGCCATGGCTAAAGGTACAATACTCCTAGATTGTCTTCTTAACACAAGCTCTGCCATTGCGCCAGGCAACGGGTTAGATTTTGGAAACACGCTCGACATAACCAGAGAAATTTGTGTCCCTGTAACTTTCCATCCCGTGTCTACTCTGTCATTGATTTCCCTCTCTCTCGCTCTGCAGAGCCAAGCCTCTCAAAGCCTTTCAAGTAATCCTCGGGTGCTTCAGGGGTGTCTGTGCTGAGGACAGCTGAAATAATGTGAACTGGCGGAGGCTTGGTTTTTCTCAGCTCAGGGCCCTGATTTGTCTGGTGCTCTGGGTAGTTCCTCTGATCACAATTCCTCAGGCTCTTCCTTGACAGGAGATTTACCGTGGGAATTCCTAGGAGAGCAGGGGCAGCGAGTTATAGTCCCTTGTGGAACCCGGGCTTCAGAAATATTCAGGGCTTGGGGCCCTGCTCCAACAATGTTTGGATCTGGGTCTCTCCCCCGGCCCTGCCTGGAGCGGCCCCTGGTCCAGAGCATCCGCCCCCAGCCCCCACCTGCCCCCCCGAGCCCCCTGCCTGAGTGAAAGCGGCGCGTCTCGCCCTGGCCTCTGCTGCCGGCAGCTCCAGCCGCGCACAAGAGCACCTGGGAAGGGGGAGCGGGAGGGGGCACACACATGCTTGGCAGCCCCCCCCCCGGCACCAGACGCCGAGGGGGCTTCTGGCGGGAGACATCTGGAGCGGACCCGCTTGACTCACCTGAGCAGCTGCTGGGGCTTCGGTGAGTGTTTGACCCTCTGATCCACCCCCCCACCCACCCCTCCTGCAAACACTGGGCAAGGGGCAGCCCTGTCCCCAGCCCCAGTGACGCTATGAGGAGGGGGAGCAGGGGAGGAAGGAAGCCACATGTGATGGCAGTCCCCTCCCCACAGCACCCATCACCCCCTCCCACAGCCCACACCCCTCTCTGGCCCCCAACTCCTTCCCAGAGCCTGCACCCCCAGCCTAGAGCCCGCACCCCATCTCTGACCCACAGCCTGCATCCCTCACCCCCTCTGCACCCCCAGGCCCTGCCCAAGTCCAGAGCCTGCACCCAGCTCCCAAACTCCATCCCACAGCCTGCACCCCCATCCCCTTCCCACACCCCCCTCCTGCACCCAAACTCCCTCCTGCACCCCCACCCCTTCCCCCAGCCCAGAGCCTGCACCCCCACCCCCTTCCCACACCCCCCTCCTGCACCCAAACTCCCTCCTACACCCCCACCCCTTCCCCCAGCCCAGAGCCTGCACCCCCACCCCCTTCCCACCCCCTCCTGCACCCAAACTCCCTCCTACACCCCCACCCCTTCCCCCACCCCCCCCACCCAAACTCCCCCCCCCCACCCCTTCCCCACCCCCCCCTCCTGCACCCAAACTCCCTCCTACACCCCCACCCCTTCCCCCAGCCCAGAGCCTGCACCCCCATCCCCTTCCCACACCCCCATCCTGCACCCAAACTCCCTCCTACACCCCCACCCCTTCCCCCAGCCCAGAGCCTAAAACCAAACTCCATTCCAGAGCCTGCATCCCCTCCCCTCGCAGCCCCTCCCATCCCCAAACTCCCTCCCAGAGCCACCAAAATTTCTACAAAACTTGCCCCCCCCCGTAAGAGAGGAATGATTCTGGGGAAGTCAGTGCCTAACCTCCCAATCCTGCTCCTCTGTCTTTGTTTAATGAGCAGACTGCGGATAAAAGCATTGTATTCAATACTTGAAGCGTCCATACAATCTCTGTGCGCACTGGATTTGAAAAGTTGTCCTCCTTCGTCTGTAGGCCACCAGTGTCCATTTTAAATCAACAGATGCACCATGACCCATGGGCTGCTTCCCTAGGATACACAGGGACGGATTACTCACTCATCGCGGTGGGCTCCAGCCCCCTAGGATCCCCTGCCAGGATTTTTCCTTCCTTTTCGGTGGGCGCCAGCGGCCCGGGCAGCGGGAGCGGCCACCGCCTCCCGGGCAGGCCACGGGCCCGCCGCCCCGCGGGCTCTGCAGGGGACCCCGGCCCGGGGGCCCGGGAGGCGCGGCTCCGCCCGGGATGGGCCCGGCAGGCGTCAGGGCGGCCCGACCGGCCCGAGGCTCTTCCTGGGACCAGCCCGGGCGGGGCGGGAGAGCCGCGGCCCTGACTGGACGGGCCCGCCCCGCGCTCCGGGCAGCCCGCCCCGGGGAGACCTTGCCGCGCCCCGCCCCGCAGCGGCGGCCCCGGCTCCGGGGGTCAGGCGCGTGCACCGCGATGCCTGATGGGAAATGGAGGGTCACCCGCGGGGCCCGGCTTCGCCCCCCCGCCCCGGCCGCGCGGCCCGTTCTGACGGTGGGGGGAGCGTCGCGCGCTGTGACATCATCTCGGCGCGACAGCGACGGGGCGGGAGCGGAGCCTGCGGGGTGACGTACGTGTGCACGCTGCGTCTCCCAGCGTGCCCGGGGCCGCGCGGTGGCTGACGGGAGTAGTCCCCAGACAGCGACTTCCCGCGGGGGCCGATGGGAAAAGCGGCCGCGAGACGCGGGCACGCACGGCGCAGGCGCGCTACGGCTCAGCCCCGACAGCGCAGCGTCGCCCCCTGACGCCGGCGGGACTCGACCCGCTGCCGCGCTACGGCGGCCCGTGAGGCCCGGATCCGGGGGGTTCAGCCGGCGTGCGCGGGAGCGGGGGGAGGAGCCCGGCCGGGCCTGGCAGCGCCGCCCCTCCGCCAGGTAGCCGCGCGCCGGCCGCGAGCGGGGGCCGGGGTCGGGGCCGCCCTGAGCCGGCGGCGGGAGCGGGGGGGGGCGGGGGGGAGCGGGGGCGGCGGGGAGCGGGGGGGGCCGGCGGCGGGAGCGGGGCCAGCCACGGGGGGGGGGCGCAGCATAAAACCAGCGGCTTTGAATTCCCGACCCCCCCCACCCAGAGACCCACAGAGGGACCCCCCCACACACGAGACACAGAGACCCTGAGACAGAGACCCCCCACACACCCCACGAGACAGACCCCCCCACACACAGACCCACCACAGACAGACCCCCCAGAGCCCCCCCCCCCCCACACAGACCCTTGAGACAGACCCCCCACACACACCACACCCACGACGAGACCCCCCCCCCCAGAGAGAGACCCCCCCCCCCCACACAGACCCAGAGACAGAGACCCCCCCACACCCACGAGAGACCCACAGAGAGACCCCCCACACACAGAGACCCCCCGACCGAGACAGACCCCCCCACACAGAGCCCGAGACAGAGACCCCCCACACCCCCCACACCCACGACCCAGACACCCCCCCACACACAGAGACCCACCGACGAGACAGACCCCCCCACAGACCCAGAGACCCCCCCCCCCCACACAGAGACCCAGAGACAGAGACCCCCCCACACCCCCCACCCACGAGACCCAGAGACCCCCCCACACACAGAGACCCACGAGAGAGAGACCCCCCACACACCCCCCACACAGACCCAGAGAACCCCCCCCCCCACACACAGACCCAGAGACAGAGACCCCCCCACACACAGAGACCCTGAGAGAGAGACACCCCCACACCCACGACACCCCACACAGACCCAGAGACCCCCCCACACAGAGACCCTGAGACAGAGACCCCCCCCACACACCCCCACACAGACCCAGAGACCCCCCCACACACAGAGACCCAGAGACAGAGACAGACCCCCCCACACACAGAGACCCCCAGAGACCCCCACACACACACGAGACCCAGAGACCCCCCCCACACAGAGACCCTGAGACAGAGACCCCCCCCACACACCCCCGACACAGACCCAGAGACCCCCCCCCACACACACAGAGACCCGCACACACGTCCTGTGAACCGGGAGTTCTCGGCTATTTCTTAAACCGCGGGCAATTAGCAGCAAGATTTGAGGAGTCCCTGAACTAGTTAATGTCCAAGAATAACAATTACTGCAACCCAATCAAGTAGTTTTCATAGTGTGTGTACATATAGACACACACACACATATATTGGGGCTGTCAAGCGATTAAAAAAAAATCACGATTAATCGTGCGGTTGTACAACAATAGAATGCCATTTACTTTAAATATTTGGCATGCTTACATTTTCAAATATATTAATTTTAATTACAACACAATACAAAGTGTACAGCCCTCAATTTATATTTATTTTTGATTACAAATATTTGCTCTGTAAAAAACAAAAAAATTGTAAAGATTCTTAAACCTTGGGCCGAGCGCTGTTGCTGTTTTTAGAAATCTCACATTGGTACCTTCTTTGCGTTTTGTCAAATCTGCTGTGAAAGCGTTCTTAAAACGAATATGTGCTGGATCATCATCCAAGACTGCAGTAACATGAAACATATGCAGAATGCAGGTAAAATAGAGCAGGAGACCTACAATTCTCCCCCCAAGGAGTACAGTCACAAATTTAATTGATGTATTATTTTTTTAACGAGCATCATCAGCATGGAAATATGTCCTCTGGAATGGTGGCCGAAGCATGAAGGGGCATACGAATGTTTAGCATATCTGGCATATCTTGCATCGCCGGCTACAAAAGTGCCATGGGAACGCCTGTTCTCACTTTCAGGTGACATTGTAAATAAGAAGCAGGCAACAGTATCTCCTGTCAGTTGTAAACAAACTTTTGTCTTAGCGATTGGCAGAATAAGAAGTAGGACTGAGTGGACTTGTAGGCGCTAAAGTTTTAAACTGTTTTGCTTTTGAGTGCAGTTATGCAACCAAAAAAAAAAACAAACTGCATTTGTTACACTTTCACAATAAAGAGTTTGCACTTCAGTACTTGTATGAGGTGAATTGAAAAATACTATTTTTTTTGTTTTATCATTTTTACAGAGCATATATTTGTAATAAAAAAATAATAATAATATAAAGTGAGCACTCTGCACTTTGTGTTCTGTGTTGTAATTGAAATCAGTATTGAAAATGTATCAAAAATATATATAATAAATTGCAATTGGTATTCTATTGTTATAAGTGTGATTAATCGCGATTGATTTTTTTGAGTTAATCGTGTGAGATAACTGTGATTGACAGCCTTAACGTACATATATAAAATAATACCAAATCCTCAGAACACCAATATAATGGGGAAACTAATTCTTACCTTAAAATGACAAGTGATTTTATGTACTCATGTGGCACTTGTTGGCATTGCCCTAGCAACAAAGCTATTGAAACAGAAAAGCAGGCAGGGTGCGGCAGTGAGGCTGATGCCTAGCAGGGCTACCAGGGGGAAAAAAATCTTTTCATTTTGCCTGTGCTCCTAAGAGGTTGAAAGTTACCTAAACCCCAAAGCATAAAAGTGGGAGTGGGGGCAGGTGCTTTGAAACTTCCATTCCCAGGATCGCCATGGCACATGGGTCATGAGAGACAGAATCTACAGGGGCCAGGGCAGGGCTTGCAACTAAACTCCCATGTTTCCCTCAGGATTTTCAAACTACACTGGACCCTCACTAGAATGTGGGATTTGGGATCCATGCCAAATCCCGCATTCTAGCGGGTACTGCGTTACAGTGGGGACCGCGTTACAATGAAAGTTAATGACGGTTACTAAATTTGGGATCCGCAACCACGTTCTATCAGAATTTGTGTTATATAGACGCGTGTTCTAGCGAGGGTCCGGTGTATAACTTTCAGGTTCTCGTCTCTGTCAACTCAGGCTATGTCTACCCTATAGCATTTACAGCGGCACAGCTGCAGTGGGCTAGCCCCTTGTTCTGTGTTTGGGAGTGGCAGGGGATTCCTTCATGGTCTTTTTCCTCTTTCAGGTGCTTTCCAGGGTCATCATGGTGCACCTTGGTAAGTGCAGACAGGGCTTGTTAAGGGGTGCGTGCACACCATGTTGTACTGACAGACCCCAGTTTCTGCATCCCTCTAAATCAATCACAGTTAGTGGAGAATGTGCAGCCTTCACCGCTGAACTCTCTTAAGGGTTGGTAGAGCAAATCTGTCATCTTTATTGTAAATAAATTGCTTTAAGACCTCAATCTCCTGGCAAGGTACAGACTTCGATTGCATCATGAAGAATAATCTATTGTTGCTGCGTAAGGGAAGGTTACAGCAGTTTTCTTGATTTTTAAATGAAACCAAGCTTTTCTCTAAGGCCTTTGGAATTTTTTGGCTCGACGTCTATATGCATCTGTTTATAATCAAATCTATTGTGACACCTGTTGATCTTCCCTTCAGCTCATCTCCTTATGAAAAATTATCATGGAGGACACGTAGCTATCCGATTGGCTCTTGGTGGTTGTGCCAACAGACCCTTCTTCCGTATAGTGGCCGCATATAACAAGCGAGCACGGGACAGCAAGTATTTGGAGCAAGTGGGCTGCTATGACCCACTCCCAAATAGCCACAATGAAAAGCTTGTTGGCTTGAACATCGAGAGAATCAAACACTGGATTGGTTGTGGAGCACATGTCACAAAACCGGTTGAAAAACTTCTAGGTAACTCAGTGTGTTTTCCAATCTGAACTATTTGCTTATTTCTCTTAAAAGACAATAGGTTTTCCTTGGTGATCCTCCGCATACTTGGAGTACCAAAGACTCTTTCTTCATTTCTTTGCATGAATCCTTGAGAATATGTATATATGCAATCACCCTTCTTTTGGCCACAGGAAATGGGATGTTTCAATAGCAGCCTTGTTAGTCTGTATCCGGAAAAAGAACGGGAGGACTTGTGGCACCTTAGAGACTAACAAATTCATTTGAGCATAAGCTTTCGTGGGCTACAGCTCACTTCATCAGATGAATAGAATGGAACATATAGTAAGAAGATCTATCTACACATACAGAGAATCATGAAAAGGTGGGAGTTGCCATACAAACTGTAAGAGGCTAATTAAGATGAGCTATAATTTGTTAGTCTCTAAGGTGTCACAAGTACTCCTGTTCTTTTTGCGGAAATGGGAACGGGTCTCATTTATGGAGACACTGAGCTGGCCGAGACAGCAGTAAAAGGCACTTCAAGCCACTAGAGGGTTGGTGAGAGAGACAATTACTCTCACTTCTTAAAAGTCTCATTAACTATTGGAACAGTTGACCCAGGGTTGTCGTGAATTCTCCATCACTGACAATTTAACTTGAGATTGGATGTTTTTCTGAAATATATATGCTAAGAATTATTTTGGGGAAGTTCTATAGCATGTGTTATATAGGATGTCAGACGAGATAATCACAGCGCTCCCTTCTAGCCTTTGAATCTGTGAGTCTAGAACAGTCATATTGCAACTCCAGCTATAAACATAAATCATCTTTCTCTCACGTCTTTCTGGTTTTTTCCCATTGCATCCTATGACAATCACAAATGCAGAAAGATTAAGGAAGAGAAGAGCCTTGAAAGCCATAACAGCTTCTGAGGAAGAAACTCCAGGTGACTGATAACATCTAACTGAACTGAATTACTCAAAAGATTACTGTACAGACAACGATCAGAACAGTGTGCCAACTAAAAAGGACAATATATTTACTACAGGCAAAGAAATGATAGTGGATGTGAATTATTTCATAAGAACATTAAAGTATTTTGAAGCTTTAGGAGTCCTCAGACAAGGATTCTGATTGTCCTCATTTGTTAATTACTTCTTATTTTGCACAAATTATTAATCTTTCATGTTTGTCAAACTGCAGTTACTTAGGCCCAGATCCACCAAGGTAAAATTTAGGCTCCTAAATTCCACTGAAATCCAATGGAAGTCAAGAACGAAAATACCTTTGTGGATCTGGGCCTTCCAGATTACAGCATTCATACAAACTGAATACAAACTCCCGTTTTCTAAATAGCTCTATTGTGGAGGTAGAGAGAGCGTTACTGACTGTCGTAAGAGTCTAATGTATAGGAAGTTGTGCTGGATCAACGAACAGGTGAGGATGCACCTGGAGGCTTCCTTCTAAACGTCACCTTACCATTACTTAAGACAAGCCACAGTTGGTTTTTAATTTTACAGTGAACTATTTCAAGATTTTTGTTAGAGGAGGGACACTCAGACCTGGCCACTGTTGCTTCTTTATTTTCACCCAATGAAGCCGCAAATAGTGTAAGCGGCAGAAAATCCTTTTTTCGGTGCAGAGGTGCAGCACAGAATGTGACACGAATTACTTAACCACACTACTGTTCTTCTAGAAGGTATCCCACAGAACATGACTCTAAACATAGCAAATACTTGGATGGTTTTATACCTTTCTCCCTGAACAGTATTTGATCAAACATTATACATGCGTCCAGCTAAAACAATAATTTAAAAATCCAGGAATTACTACATGATGTTCATAGATTATCAGCCACCCATAGCAGCCATTCATATTCCAGCGTGTTAAGCACAATAAGAATTGAGCTATGTTCAGAGGCAGACGGCTATCCCTGTTACTGGGAGGAACTCGCACGTCATTCATTCTATCGTCTTCCATCCACATTCTAACTCGCTTAAATGTCTTAGGTAAGGCTTGTACCATCCCCGAAGATCACCAACCGCAGACTCTGGTAGACCAAACAAAGCCACTGAGTTTGAGTCATAGAACCATCACCCCAAAAGCCTTAATGCCAATCAGTGCAAATCTCAGAATTGATGATGGGGAGCACATGAGATCTTTCTCAGCCCACGCAGTGCAGCGCATCACCCCTTTTAAAGCACTCGACGTAACAAAGCTGAGACACGCTCACTGGACGATCACAGTATCCTGCTTATTTAAGAAGAGCACAATACAATAGACCACTCTAGTGCTGACAGAAAAGTCGCCTTCCTCAGCTGTTGCTCCAAGATGGCAATCTGCTGCTGTTCCTGCATGTGAGGAAGTTGGTGGGGCTCAAAAGGAGGGCAGCTCACAGCAAGAGAAATGGCTGAGAAGAGCTAGGCAAGTTAGAGGCACTTGAGATTCATTGCAGGCCTGTGTGTTGCTCCCTTGGCAGCACACCCATAAGGGTGCGGGGAGAACCATGGAAACTCAGCCAGCTCTCACTTGCCAGGCAGCTGGGAATTGGTTACATTTTTAATGGAGAAGTAAAATCTGAGCAAATGTCTACATGGAACCAAAGAAAAATAAGATCTTTTGGGTGATACCTGAAGTCCTGCCTGAAAAGGTTCAGGCAGACGTGGCTGGTTTGGATTTTGCCTATTAGTACATTTAAACCAGGGGTTCTCCGAACACATTTTTTGGTGGCCTCGGACTGTGACCCACCAATTCTTGCTGGTGGCCGCATTGACACTTTTCCCTAAAATACGTAACTGTAGGAAAAACAAATAAATATGCACAGACACGTGTCCAAATCCTTGTAATTTATTTATGTAGGGTTTTTTCAGACTCACAAATAATTATTAAATTATTAAATTATATTTGTATGTTGAATATTGCTTTTCGCAGCACACTTAGTAGCTAGCTGGGAGTTTGTGAAAAGTGATATTAACAAACATACAAGTATCACTTTTCACAGCCTCCCAGGTGCTAGTCAGTGTGCTGTGAAAAGTGATACTTGCATGTTTCTTTGTTTCGCTTTTCTCAGCAAGCCCCGGGTTTGGAGAGGGAGGCAGCAGGGGTCTGGGGCAATGGGGGGGAAAGAGGTGGAACCAGGGAAGGCAGTGGGGGCTGGGGGCGATAAATGGGGGTTCGGGGAGGCGTCGCGGAGAATGGTGAGCCCTGCTGCCATATGGCTGGAGCTGGGAGGCAGCACCCCCAGAGTCCAGAGCGAGCGGCTGGAGCCCAGGGTTGGTGGCGGCTGCTGCTGAGCAGCTGGAGGTGTGGATCAACACCCACCACCCTGGGGCTGGGGCTGGGGTTAGGGAGCGGGGTGAGGGCTGGGGGTCGGTGCCAGAGCCCGGAGCCAGCACTTGCTGCTGCACAGCCAGGGGTTAGCGCCCAGGGCCAAGGTCACGTGGCCGGAGCCTGGGTCAGAGCCCGGGGCTCGAGCCGTGCAGCTGAAGCCCTGCGGCCAGGTTCTCACCCAGGGCTGAAGCCCAAGCCCCAATGTGCCCTGCCCACCCCACAGGTGAGTCAAGAACTCACCTGGCTCCTGCAGCATTGTGCCCCACCTGTCTCCAGAGGCGGTGCATGGTGGCTCATGCAGGAGCAACAGGGAGGGAAGGGGAGAGGCTGATGCTTTGGCCTCTCCACCACTGCCCAGGAGGCTGTTAGGCCTGCACAAAAAGCCCCTGGTGGCCGCATGCGAGAAATGCTGAGTTAAACTCACTTCCATGCTGTCAAAACCTTTGCCATTGTACCTCCTAACTGCTGGTTGCTCAGGTCAGAGTGTACTTAAGGGTTAAGTGAAGTGCTGCTGTAAGAATAAGCTTCGTGTCCTTTAAAGGAAACCAAGACAGAAAAAAATACTGATGATTTTTAATATTTTTTCTTTATCTAAAACAATTAATGAAACGACATAGAAAATTCTATTAAACACACCTTTTGCATTTTACAGATTTGTAGTATGCAAAGTTTGATTTTATGTAATGCCCATCCCCATATATATTCTTGTATAAACAAGACATGATTTCCCTGGTAACTGGGACCAGTTTTTATTCTGTCTCCTCAAATTTAAAAGTTCATTTGTATGTAGGCTTTGGGAAGAGTTCCTTTCTCATTTCTAAGCACACAACACGGTTTTCTTTTCTGGATTTCTCGGCCTCAAATACAAGGAGGTGGGTCTGCAGGGTTGCTTCTGGACCAGTCTGAATGAGGGATGGTTTATTCTCCTGTTTAAAAAACAAAATTATTTCTAGTGTTACAGGAATAAAAGACAGAGAAGTCTGGTTTATAAAGCTGGATCTCTGCATCCCTCTCCCAAAAGGACTGCATGATCAGGCTCAAGGGAGTATTCAGAAATAAATTGTTTATCATCCCTTTAATCGAGTTATACCAAAGCAAGAGTTAGACAGTGGTTGGGCAATCACCATACAGTTAAATGGAGTAAATATTAATTAGAATGTTACTGCCAACAGGGCAGGTGAGTGGCAGGGCTCGGGGTGGGGAGGGGGGATGAGGCGTGAGTCAGCCCTGTGAGGGGGAAGATGGGGGGTTTCGTGGAGTGGTTTGGGCCAGCCCTGCAAGGGGGAGGGGAGAGGGCCAGCTCTGTACAGGGGGAGAGGGGCTCGGGGGAGCTCAGTGCCACATGGGGGGGGGAAGGGATGGAAGAGGGGCTCAGAGCACCTCCATGCCGGGGAGAGGAGCGGGAAAGGTAGAGGGTCTTGGGTGCGCGCCGTGCCGCACAGTGGTGGGGGAGGGAGAGGGGCTTGCTCCAGTTCCACACAGGGAGCCCCTCGCTCCAGCGCCAGGTGGGGGGCTAGGGCCAGCTCAGCATGGGGCTTGGGCGAGCAGCACTCAGCCAGCTCTGTCTGAGGCAGGGGGATTGCTCACCACCTCCAGGCTTCTCTGGCTGGCCTGAGGTGGGGCCTCCGGGGGAAGAGGAGCCGGAGGGGGAGAGAGAAGGAGCAGGGGCCACAGCTAGATTTCAAGCTGCACCTGTGGGGCCCCCCAGCTGGTCGGGGCCTCTGGGCACGCCCCTGTTGGCCCATACTGGCTGTGTACTGAGCCCTATTACTTTAAAGACAGTATCAGCTGCACAGTACTCAATACCAAACATAACCCAGGGTGACAAAGTGCACTTCTCTGTCCCCCCTCGATTGACTGGGCCGCATAGATGTTTATTTGTCTGCTACAGCCTTTTAGCTCAGGCAATAAATAGAGGCTTGTAGTTTTAGATCCAGAGGTCCAAGTTCAATCCCGGCTGCTGACCCTCATGTACACAAACGCTACTGGAACATAGAGTCATATCATTGCATGTCTATGTTCATAATGTTATACAACACAACGAATTAACAGCTTATAATTCACATTGTGCATTGCTGTTTCAGTTAGCATGTTGGTGTGGCTTCACAGAGTCCAAGGTCAGAAGAGACCACTGTGATCATTTAGTCTGACCTCCTGCATAACACAGGCCATAGAGTTTACCCAGAAATTCCTGCATCCGGTCCAACAATTTGTCTTTGAACTAAATTGTATAGGTTAGAAAAGCATCAAAGCCTTGTTTTAAAGACAAAGTGTGGTAATTTAACCACTGGAACAGATTATCAAGAACTGTGGTAATTACCTTCCCTGATAGAACTGGTGGCATCTTACTGCAAGTTTCAACTTTGCTGACTTCAACTTCAAGCCAGTGGATCTTCTAACACCTCTGTCTGCTAGATTAAAAAGAGTCCCCTAGTATCAGATATCTGCTCCCTATGTAGATCACTATAGGACCATCATCAACTCACCTCTTAACCTTCTCTGAGGTAAACTAAATGGATTGAGCCAAAGTTTCTCTTTGCGGGGTATGCTGTCAGACCACACATCATTCTTGTAGCTTTAACTCTCTCCAATTTCTCAGCATTCTTTTTGAAGTGGTTGAGTAGCATTATGGTAGTAACCTAATGCTTGAGAATGAATGTTCCTTTAACTTACGTGTTTCGCGCTTTCTAATGTTTGTGTTTTTGTGAAGACATGCACTTGTGCAACCCTAATTCACAGGGGGTTTTTACATAGGATTGTCATTGTTTTAAAAAATAAAAACAGAAGTAAATGTGAGGGCTGAGGCCCGAAGGCTGTATTAGATCTCTTTTACTTAAAACTTTGCATCTTCAGAAGACAAACCTGAGCTGATGTTCCAGCTTCCTCTGACGCTCAAAGTTTTAACATTTGAAGGAAGAGCCATTTTATAAACCACATTTTATTCACAATTAGGAGATAAGGGACAGCCAACAATACAAAAATATTGTCATTTTAAGTTGTAAACGCATTCCAAATCCACACTTAAGATGTAATTATCCCCTCATCACCCAGAAATCTGACTATAGTCGAGAGAAGTTTCTCACAAGGGGCTTGTAGAATGAGGGAGGAGATGTCTAAATAATGGGACTTCTGCTACCACTGCTGCTTTTATTGAATGTCTGTTATTGTGGAAATCCCTACCCTTGTGGCAGGGTTGACAAAGAGAACTTACAGTTAAAGCTGAAATAAAGCTGTCCATCAGATAGTAATCAGCTCCATCGTGACCCATTAAATGGCTTGGAATGAACGTGGATTTGTTTGTTGGATAAGCAGTTTTCTCTCTTGTGCAAAAGTCAAAAACTTGCACTGGTCCCCCACCATCACAGAATAGTTCTCCCTAGAAGTCCAAAGTAAAGCACAAAACACACCTTACTAAAAACGTCACTCCGAATTTTTGACAGTGTTTCTAGTGTGTCTAAAGCATGTCTACATTGCCCACGGCGTGGCCTCGCTTCAACATGGGCAGTGTAGACGCACCCTAAATGTAATGTCCACAATGAGTTTGTATCACAATAAAAATGTATATAAAAATCTCTAAATAAGATATTAAGACCACTCCTAGAAAAGTTACGTTGTATGTTTTTAATATCTTCGCTATGGACAGCATCTACATGGTATTAAAAGAATGGCTAGCTTAATCAGCAGGAAGATCAAAAATGCATGACAGAGCTATTGCACTTGTTTATTTGCTGGCCACTGACCTCCAGTTTGACAAAGGCCTCATATGGTCACAGGCCTTTAAAATGGGTCTCAAAAGTCAACATAAAACAGCAGGAAATATTATATGGTAAAATAGTCTTGGAGAGGCAGTTAGCATACTGAATTACTAGACCATCGTGGTTTGTGTAACAGAGGTGTCCAATAAACCAGTGCAGCAACAGAGATGAAAAACAGTTGCACTCAGCAAGACGTTTCCCCATAACGACACTTTGTTAGCAGTTACACACATAGTATGCTGCAGTGTTAGTGTTTATAGCAAGATATTAATTCAAAAATCGCTAAGGCCCATAATCCAGGCATCATCTTTGATTTGGCCCTCTTTTGACTCACACACGTTCAAGCCTTGCTGCTTCTCCTCACATAATGCCGACTGTTCTACATTCCTACCTTTCCAAACTACCATCGCTTTTGCTTAGAATCTCTCATACTTTGAATCCAGGCCCTCAGTGTCTCTGTCTCTCTGGCCTTTAATGGGAATGAGGTAGTGTCCCCATAAGTAAGGCCCTCAGAAAATAACAGACTTTTTTTTTTTTCTTTTCTTTTTTAAATTCACGGTAGCGTCCCAGGTAAAAGTTTGCATTTCATGGGACAGGCATGGCTGCTGATCACCCCTGAACTGCTGTGATTTTTCCAACAGTGCCAAGGCAGAAGCACAGTTAGCGGGTCAGTCCCATCCCAGAGTGTGGTAGGAGGTGGAGGGCTGGTCCTATCGCAGGCAGTGTTGGTGTCTTACCACACGATGCTGGCCAGTCCAACCCAGCCCAACCCAGGTCAGGGATTGGGGCCCAGCTAGCTCCATGCTCAGCTCCAGCAACTGCTGCTGTTTCCTGTCTGTCCAGTGGGGAGAAGGGGGCAGCCCTGACAACACCACGATTCGATGCCCCAGCCTGGCCTGCCCCATTGTGACCCCCGGCAGCCTGGGAGGAGATAACACAACACCAGCTGGTGGGGAGCTGAGGCCAGGATCCCTCCCCTCAGCCTGATCCTCACACTCCGACCGCCCTGCAGGGAAGAGGGCTACCTCAAGCCCCGATCTCTCCATCGGGGTAGGGCCTCCTCACGCAGCTGCTCATATTCCAAGTGGCTGCAGTGCTGGCCGTTGTCGTTGTGTTGGCTACGGTGGGGGATGGATCCTGGTCTCAGCTCCTGTGCTGTCTCCCCCAAGGCTGCCAGGGGCTGCTCTGGGATGGGCCACTCCTAATCGCTGCATTATCAGGGCTGCCTCTCTCTGCCTGCTGGCCAGACAGGAATCAGCAGTGGCAGCCTAAGCTGGATCTCAGTGCGGAGTGAGCTAGGCCCTGATTCCTGCCCCAGACCATCTAGTGCCACGTGGTCAGACGCTCCCCTCACCACGCCCTGGGATAGGACCAGCTCACCATCCTCCTGCCCCCCTCCTGAATGGGACCAGCCTGCTAACCCCCGCAATGAGCAACCTCAGTGGGGACGCGGGAGCAGTGATGCCCACTTCCACCTCCCTGCTGTTGGAAAGGGCTAATTCCATGATTTCCATGCAGTCCATGAACGTGTGATTTACAAAGGGCCTTACCCATAATATCCTTATAATAGGCCTTATCCACAACTCTCATTGATTTCAGTGGGAACAAGATTGTGCTCAGTAAATAGAAATGGTGAGGTACTGAACTGTGGGGCAATCTCCCGTTCATTTACCTTGGTCCCATAGACGGTGGTTTTCCTTCTACACAGCTGCTCCGTAAAGGCCATCATGGTAAAAGCAGCTGTTGCTCCTCCTTCAAACTCCATGTTAACAACCTGCAGAGAGTAAAGAAGTTAAGAAACATACGGCCCCTCTAAAAGTGCCGAGGGGAATCTGGCAGGAGCGGGTGAAGGTGTATTTCCTGTCATCTATCAGATAACTAGGAGTTACAAAGTAGACAGCACAAACAGCTGAAAGATGAAATTAACAGAAGTTACATCTCTAGCACAAGAGGCAAGCTGTAAAATCCATGAGTTGTGTGTTGTGAACATTTCTACTAGAGCAGCACAGAGTTCAAGTGTTGTACAGGCTTTATTTGTCACAGAGTTTTACTTGGTTTTATCTTGTGCTGCGCACAGTATGCTTTTCAACAGGCGACTTTTTCCAGCGGGTTCACACAGTATCGGAGAGGTGCTACTAGACCTATGCTTGTGGAAGCACGTCCAAAAGACTAGAGCTTACGCACCAACGTTTTCTCAAGGGCCAATCTTTCCTTACAAAATCTCAAACAGGGAAAACTTTAACCAAATAAAACAGCCTAACTGATTTATTTGAAGACGTACTGGTTTCATACTCAGGACTAATCTCTACAATTTTTTAATGTAAGTAAATAAATAAAATTTTACATACGCTACTTAGATGAACAAAAAAATATCATACCTGGTTACTGACAACATCATTGTCACATTCATAAACGCATCTTCCGTATGGACCGCTGCGTAGGCCCTCTGTCACAGATTCTATGTCACAAACTCCACTGTTGCACACAACAGACACTGGCCAATTAAAATAACCCTACAAAAATAACAACAATGTTACTTATGCAAGACATACTGTATTCTTATCTCATCTAAAAAGGCAAGAAACTTGCCTCTTCTTATCTTGGACCAAATTCTCATTTATATGTACAGAAATCAGAACCATTTGCTGCAGCTGGGGCGCAAACCTGTTCCTGTAGGTAAACAACGTGAACTCACAGCATGATGCTGTGGCAAGAGAGGTAGCATGATCCACTGAGGTATAAACAGGGGAGCATCAAGGAGGAGTCCAGAGGTGGTATGATCTCTGTGTACACCGGGTCCACTTCTGGTGTCCACACTTTAAAAATTATGTTAACAAATTGGAAAGAGCTCAGAAGAGAGCTGCAGGAGTGACTCTCGGTCAACAGGCAACTTGATTAGTCTAATTTCCTCCATGAAGAGAAGATTTCTGATAGTTGGGGGGTTTCTAGGCAACAAAGGCATAAAAAGATCCAATATCTGGGTGCAGAAGCCAAACAAATTAAGATGGGAAATAAAATTAATTTTTTTTTTAACTAAAAGGGTAATTAGCTATTGGAATAACTTACCTAGGTAGCTGGTGGATTCACCTTGAAATCTTTACATCAAAATTGGAATTCTGTCTAAAAGATATGCTATAGCTAAGGCTCCGTGTCTGTCTGTCCGTGTCTGACTTCTACAGCGGCCAGTATGGCTGAGCCTAGGGCTCCCTCCCTGCAGCTGGTGCTGTGGGCCCCCCAGGGCTCCCTCCCTGCCCCCTCAAGATTCAATCAGGGTTATTTGTGGTATAAGTCATGGACAGGTCACAGGCCATGATTTTTTGTTTCTTGCCTGTGACCTGGTTCATGACTTCTACTAAAAATACCCGTGATTAAATCGTAGCCTTAGCTATAGCTCAACTGAGGAAGGTGAAATTCCATGGGCTGTGTTATGAAAAAGATCAGTCTAGATGATCATAATGGTCCTTTCCAGCCTTGAAAAGTCTTATGAATACTTGCTATCCCTGGGATTCTCCACTCACCTCCTCAGGTCACCCCTGAATCACAACAAGAAAAGATGAGAAGACCCTGAATGATGCAATGCACACTTTGGAAACTGGTATTTTGTGTGAGGGTTGGAATGATATACTTCAGCCATTCAGCAAGTGCAGTCTAAGCTTGCAAAGTGCTCAAATTGACCTTTCCAGTGCTGTAAACCTAATGAGGAGCCTTGGAACTGTTCTTCAACAAATGTGGGATAGTTTTGATGCCTATGAAATTCAGGGGGCTGCAAGGCCTGCTAACTATGAGTAGAAGTCTGCCAAATGCTGCAAAAGACAGAAGACATGCAACGATGCAACTGCCCACTCATTCAGTGACAAGGAGGCCTTCACAGTTAATACCTTCATCACAATCATCGACAAACTGAAGAGTGCATTAGAACATCGGATTGAGGCTTATGAAAATATTGACAAAACCTTTAGAGTACTGACAAATTTTTTGCCTAACATTTCAAGTTCCAAAGTCAGTGAAGGTATCAAATGTCTGTGTCAGAAGTACCCAAACGATCTTCCAGTAGATTTTACTAAAGAATTTGTTCAATTTGTTGAATTCGCATCACACTCTCAGATATAGAGAGAAAAGATGACAAAAGCAAATCTATTTGGATGTACCAAGTTATCACTGAATCCAGTGACAGAAAGTTTCCCAAATGTTGAAACTGCATTATGGCTGTATTTGTCACTAATGATCACTAACTGTAGTGGAGAATGTTCCTTCTCTCTTCTAACAAGGGTCTAAAAGGTCCTCCAATCCACCATGACTCAAGAGCATCTCAGTGCTTTGTTCCTCTTGAGCATTGAGAATGAAATCATCAGGGTTTTGAATTATGATGACATCATTCATGACTTTGCCAAAGCTAAAGCTAGGAAAAAAATGTGTTTGAAGAACTGAGTGTCATGAGAGCAGAATAACCTTGTTAATTTTACATAAATAAATAATATGTAAATATGTAAGTAGAAAAATGTTTGATGACTTCATAATTTTTTTTGCAATATGTAATTCATACTTAGACCCTTCCCTCCATTAGCCTTAGGCTCCTCATAATCTTAATCCAGCCCTAGGTGGCACCCTGAGAGGGGGGACAACCCATCACACCAATTCCTCACTTTCATACTTATGTCCTTGTAAAGAGATGTGCCTTTTAGATAAACTCAGCCATCCCCCTACATTACTACAGGAATGTATTGAGATATTCAGCATCTGCAACTCCCACTCAGTTCAATGGAAATTGGGTTTGCACAGCACTTCTGAAAAAAAATTAGGCCATTTCTATTCATATGCTTCTAAATTTACATTTAGCATCTTAAAAGGGTTCTGGTGGATTCTCCATCACTAGAAAATTTTAATCAAGATTGGATGTTTTAATAAAGGATATACTCTAGTTCAACAACAGCTACTGGACTTGAAGCAGAAATTAATTCAGGCAAGTCCTATGCCCCATGTTATGAGTCAGACGAGATGATCACAGTGGTCCATCTGGCCTTAAAATCTATTACTGAAGCTCCCTCCTAACATTTCTTTGATCCCATTTATTTATAAAACCTTTAAAATTCACTTTTATACAAAGTTGGAGTCAGAAAGAAATCATCCCCTTCCCATGGCAAACACTCAGCAAAGAGCTTGGATACATTTTGGCCTTCTTGTTTCTTCCAAAACGTCAAGTGTTGGCCATCGGAAGCAAAATATTATCCTTGATGACACAATGGTCTGATGTTATACAGTAATTCTTATGTTCCAAGATCTTAGGAAAACCAAAAGATGAGTTCCTTTTGCTTGGAAGCTGAACACATTTTGAGATCAATGTAGTCAATATTTGGAAGATATGTTGCTTGAAAACAGTACTATACTCACCTTCTCTGCACGTTGTAGATAAATCTTCTTGGCTGAATATGGACAGGTTTGTTCAACTGAACAGTCTAAGCACCGACTGGCAGCTCCTTTGGGCTAAAGCAAATTTACAGTGGTTCATTATTTATTAATTTTACTCATGTATTTTCATCCACAGAAAGACACTTATTGCAATATTAGGAAGATTTAGCCCCTGGGCCAGCACCAGCCACTGCAGAAGTCACGGAGGACATGGAAAGTCACGGAATCCATGACTTCCGTGACCTTCATGACAGACTTGCAGCCTTATTCATCATCTCCCAAGAAAAAGTGGTTTACAACCATCCAGTTGAGCCTCCAGTCCAAGGTGCTGCAACTAGCCCTCTGTCACCAGGGAGCTAGATAAGTATATGCTAACAGTACTAAATAACATGCTTATGCAGCAAGTACTGTAATTGGTAGTTAAAGTTGGAAAACTATTTTCATTTTACCCCATTTTCACGTGTTCACAATCTTCCAAGAATTCACCTTTGGGGCTGAAACCTTTGATCTCTGCCCAAAAATGATATTTTTTTAAAAGTCTGAGCAAATCTTCTCCCTCGTTTTAAGGTATGGGATAGCAGAAAAAATTATGCAAAATATTCATTGTAAAAAATTAAATCTACACATTCCTCAAGATACAGCAGAAGCGGCCAGGGACTAAAACTTTGAAGTTAAAACGGACATACATAAGCACTGTGTTTGGTTTGAGGGCAAAAAGGAAGTTAAAATTATTTCTGAATTAGCTTCATTGGCATTTGGTGCCTAAAGCACTTAGGCTCTTGAAAATCCCAGCATAAGGCTACGTAAAACTATTTCCCCATGTTTATTTTCCCCCCTACTGTTCCTCACACATTCTTGTCAACTGCTGGAAATGGCCCATCTTGATTATCACTACAAAAGGTTTTTGGTTTTTTTGTTCTGTTTTTTCTCTCTCTCTCTCCTGCTGGTAATAGCTCACCTTAACTGATCACTCTCATTATAGTGTGTATGATAACACCCATTGCTTCATGTTCTCTGTGTATATAGAAGTAAGCAGAGTCAGGATGAGCTCTACCCTGACATCTGGTGGGGAGTCATGGTGGGCTGTGGAAAAGAACTTTAGGGGCTGATCTCATTTGCATAGGCACACCCACCCTGCCTAGATGGTCACTTTGGCTGCTGTAGGAGCCCCAGTTTCTCTGTTATTGGGGCAAGAATAAACTGTTATTATCCTGATTATGTGAATCAAGGACAGTGGAACTTTACTCGGCCTTTTGTTATGATGGAGGGACTCACCATCAACTAAGCAGCACTCGCTAGGCAAGGGTCATGGGTTCCAAAAACCCAGTGAAGGGAGTGAGGCTGGGGACAGGTATTAATACTTGGTGGTATGGGCCCCCTGGTGAGGGCCTTACATGCTAATTGTACTTCCTCCTCTCTCCACTGTGGAATATCAGAGCTAATTTGATTCTATTAGGAGTCTGGTTACAGGCTGCTGAGCTGAATTCACTTTGGGCTAATGGTGCACCAGCACTGAGGCTCCCCTACTACAAGCTGAAATCACAAAAGAGCTAAACTTACTAACAGCTGAAATCACTGAGTGTTGTGTTAAGTAGTGAGGAGCCTGAAGATATATGGCGGAGCAGTTTGCAGGACAGTGAGCAGAGCAGAGCAGAGCAGGGTTTGTGGAGCAGAGCAGTTTGTGGGACGGCTGGCAGAGCAGAGCACTGCAGTTTGCGGGACGGCGAGCAGAGCGGCTGGTGGAGCAGAGCAGTTTGTTGGATGCCTGGAGCACCTCACGGGGCAGCTGGCAGAGCGGAGCCCCATGGAGAGGTGGGGCCATCAGCTTTAGACCACGTAAGGTGCCCCTTAACCACCACCCGCCCCCCCATCTCCACCCAGGTTGGGAGGTAAAACTTTGCAGATAAACTTTCGAACTCTGGGGCTGCCCTGACCAGGGACAGAGACTTTTGGGACTTTGGGTGATTTTGGGTTGCTGGGCTCAAGAACCAAAGGGAAAGGACACGCCCCAATTTGCTTGGGGTGGGTTTTTTGCTCAGAGGTTGTGTTATGAATCCTGTTGGTGGTGTTTCCCCAACATAATGCCACATTGTTTCTCTCTGTTATTAAAAGGCTTTTTGCTACACTCAGACTATGTGCTTGCGAGAGGGGAAGTATTGCCCCTTGGAGGCACCACAGTATATATTTGTCCCAGTCACTGGGTGGGGGCTCGAGCCGGTTTTGCATTGTGTTATTGGAATGGAACCCCTAGATACTGAACCTGGCCCTTGTTGCTGCCAACTCTGACGGGCAGAAGGGTTACATATATACATATATCTTCCTACTGTATTTTCCACTGCATGCATCGGATGAAGTGGGTTTTAGCCCACGAAAGCTTATGCTCAAATAAATTTGTTAGTTTCTAAGGGGCCACAAGTCCTCCTACTATAAATACAGGCATTTTCCCCATCCTGCTCTTGGAAAAGAAAGCAAGTGCCAGTGGCTAAGTTAATGAAATACTGAGGTTGCACAATTACAAAAAGTCAAGATCTGGAAAATGCGAAGGGCTCCAGCAGCCACAATAATTCAGCCTCATTGCTCATATACTAATATCTATTCCTACTCATCTGGTTAAACGTGTAACTCAACAATGGTGTTTAGATACCCACAACTACAGGTACCTTAGAAATGCCCAATGTTGATATTATCCACACCTGAGATTCACATTACAGTTTAGGTAACAATATGTATACTACAAGACACAGAATTTACAAGATGGCTAAATTAATGTTGATGATGGATCCTTAAATTACTTTACTGCTTATTATTTGTATTGTGGTAGTGCCCAAAATCTGCTAAGACACATTTCAAGCCCCAAAGAGCTTATACTTCGCAAACAAACCAAATATATGCAGGACAGGGGAAAGGGATACATTACACAAGAAAAGTGATCTGGATGATGGCAGGCACATCTTGTTAGCTTCATAGTGGGTTTAGGGTGGTTTTTATGTAAGTGTATTCATATTTTGTAGGCAAAGCTGCAACAGTGGTTTTTACGTTCTGCGTTTCCTTTTTGGTGAATCCAAACAGACAACCAGACAGTTACATTTACATGGCCTTTGCATTTTTATAAACTGATCATGACATGAAACATGATTGTGAGGAATGAACACCTAAGCAGACAAACTCTTTTGTCCTGACTTTTTTTAAAAACAAATTCAGATTATTTAGCTGAATATTTATTCTCTTAAAAGTTAGCTTACAATTAATAGATGTTTTAAATCAACATTAGAAAGTCAATAGTTTTTCCATTAAAAAAATCCAAGGTCCCAAACTGTGAATCCAAATATTCTACGAACTGTGGGCCCAATCTAGTAAAATTTATGCACATGAGTAATTTTACTCATGTGAGTAGTCCTATTGACACAAATTAAAATCCAAATCTAAAGTAGAGTTAGATACTGAAAGTGGTGTGGAACAATTTTATAGCATGGAAGGTGCTAAAGAGAATGGAAGGCATAATGGGAAAGCCAGGATGAACTAGCTTGGTGCGTCTTTAGACGTAATGCATACTATACTGAGATTAAATATATATTTTTTTAAATGGCATAAGCAGTTTCTGCTTGGGCTATGTCATTTTAGGCTCTCTACACTCCTGAGTTATTTCATTAGGGCTTCAGGAGCTTGGCTACTGTAAGATTAGGCTTCTGTTAACACAAAAGAAGAAATTTCCTGCAATGTTTATGTCATTTTCACTACATTTCAAAATGCACATTTTTAGCAGAAAAAACACTGATAACTACAGGTATGTTTAAGATGGTCACATACTTCCTGGAAATAAAATAAAATGGAGAGTAAATGATAAGTTAGACCCCAAGGTAGCAAAGAAGTATGAACTTAATTTACAGCATGTGCTTAAGTGGTCTGTTGAATCGAGATAGACTTAAGCACATGCTTAAATGCTTTGCTGAAATAAGGCTAGAGACTTTGAGTATTCCTTTATATAGTAGTATTTATACAAACCTTATGCTCATTAGTAAAATGAGAGAGACTGCCAAAAGATGACACCTTTAAGCACCTGAAATAAAACAGATATTTTCATAAATAAACAAACCTGTCAGTATAAAAAAGTGTAGAAATTGTCATTTTCTTAACTGTTCATTTTGGGCCTGATCCAACACACACCGAAGTCAACAGAAAGGCTTTCACTAATTTCAGTCTAACCTAGATCAGGCTTTTAGATATTCAAAGTCCTTCAACACCAATTAATTGTTGGTTTTCTGTTACACTAGTGGGGCAACTGTTTTCACTAAGATTTTTTTCTGATGACATGTCTTAGTATTGGAAATAATTTTATTACTCAGTGTGACGGGGCAAGGCCAGATGGCTATGGAAAAGTAGTGGGAGATAGATATATTAGCTCCAGGCTAAACAAATCCCTGGTACCAGGTTAAGTGAAATGGAAGCTGCTCCAGGTCAATTAAGACACCTGGGGCCAATTAAGAACTTTCCAGAAGGCAGGGAGAATGCTATGTTGATAGGGACACCTGAAGTCAATCAGGGGCTGGCTGAAACTAGTTAAAAGCCTCCCAGTCAGTCAGGTGCGGGTGCATGTCAGGAGCTGTGGGAGGAAGTTGAGCTGTTGGAGAGGCTGAGTAGTACACACCATATCAGGCACAAGGAAGGAGGCCCTGAGGTAAGGGTGAAGTGGAGCTTAAGGAAGTGAGGGCTGCTGTGGGAGAAGTAGCCCAGGGAATTGTATATGTCATGTTTCTAAAAGGTCAGCTACCATAGGTGATACTAGTAGGGTCCCTGGGCTGGAACCCGAAGTAGATGGTGGGCCCAGGCTTTCCCCCTCCCCACCTTTGCCCCTTGATTAATCACTGAGGCTGGGAGACAACAGAGACTGTGCAAGGAAGAATAACTTCTCCTCACCTCCCTCACTGGCTTATGATGAAAATGGCTCAGTAGACTGTGACCCTTGTCTCTAGAGAAAGAAGGGTTACGTGGAGGATCACAGTGAGCCTCTGAGGCTAGCTAAATCCGCCAGGAAACATGGGACCCACGGAGGCAAGGACAGAGCTTTGTCACATCAGGAAATCTCTAACTGAGCAGGGTCCCAGTCAACGGAATGATGTCAGAAGAACTCAGATTTTTTTTCTCTTGTTTCCAGTTTGTTGTAAGAATTTACAAACAATAACTGGGCTGCCTTCAAGGAACTGGAAAAAAATATGTCTTTAGTTCTATACTAAAAAAATTCTGAGACTAAAATGGGTCTGAGAATACAAAATACAACATCTCTATGTTTATACTTTTAAGTCAAGGATCACAATTTCTTTATGACCTCTAGTCCAGGATAAGTGCTGCATAATATTTACTGGCCCTGAAGGTGTTTGCATTGGTCCCACTGGATGTTCTGAGAGGTGAGGAGCTATCAAACCGTAAAAATCACATCATTCTGATTCTCATCTTCTTTTCCTCCCTCACCCACTTCAACTCTGGCAAGATTTTTAGAAACTGATACTTCACAGACTGTTCAAGATTATGGACCAGTGAAGACAAATGACTTCAACAGGAGCTGCACAACAGTAACTGAGACTATCTGAACAGTTAGAAGATGTAATCCAACCTGGCTAATTCTAGTGGTTTTAGAGATAATGTTACAGAAATTAAGTATTTTACAAAAACAAAAGGGGGATAATAAAAAATAAGATATTATGGTCTGATATCTCAATCTCTCAGGATAGAAAAATAATGTATGTCATTGAGAAATGGAAATGCTTGGCTTTCCACAAGCTGACCTTCCAAGGAATATTTCTAGCTTTGAAAATTAGTAAAATTATCACACCTTGAAAATGTCTCTGTGGCATTCAACAAAGCACTTAAGCAGGTCCTTAAGTCCCATTTAAGCATATGTTTGTGTTCTTTGCTGAACTGGGGCCCTTATGCACTGGTTCACAAGTAGACACTGCGAGTCCCAGACTCAGGGCCATTGTCATTCCAATTCCTCCATTTTTGAGGATTCCATCCTTTTCTGATAAATACAAGTTTTACATCCAACTTGCAACTAAATTTTCCAGTGAAGCTATAATAGTTTAGTTAGTTAATTTGGCTAGGTTGGTGATTTTGGACAGCCTGGAGATGCAATTTAAAAAAGAAATTAGACCGTGCTTGGAATACTAAGTTTCAGGAGAGAAAGAATGACCTGTGGCTAACGTACTAGTGTTGGACTCCGGAGGTTTGGGCTGAGCTCCCAGCTCTGTCACAGACTTTGCCTCAGTTCTCAATCTATAAAATGGATATAAAACCCCCTACCTCACAAGGGAGTTGTACGGATAAATTCATTAATATTTGCAGTGCATTCAGATACTACAGTGACGGAGACATGCATGTCCCTAGATAGATACTTTCCGCCACAGTCTGATTACCGCCTTTGGTTTATTCTTCCTGCCAGGACGTAATAACAACTACGAGCATTTTCCTTTAACTAACGTGAACGCCAATATTTAAATCAATGTAATTTAATCGATCATTTTTTGTATCACTGCAGGAGATCTACATTTAGAAGAAGGTTCAGGCTTCTTGTTCTCTAGGAGGGTGACGGTCAATTACACTCAGCGGGGAAAATAGCTAACTGGGGCTAGGTTTACACGACAAAGTTTTGTCGGCACAGCTATGTCGGCAAACCTCCAATGTACTGACAGCGGAGTTCTTCTGACGACACAAGTAATGTCGTTTGGAGGAGTGGTGCTACTGTGCCGACAGGAGAAACTCCTTCTCTCATCATAAGCTGCATCTACACTGTAACTAGACTGGCAAAACATCTGTAGCATAGACATGGCCTTAGTCTCTCGGAAGGGGAAAGTTACATAAAACGTGTGTAACTATAACACACCATATTTGTGTTTGCACATGTTTATTCTTAGAACAAATATGATAAAAAAGATGCTGTAAACCTTTTATCACCCATCCAAAAATGAATGAGGTCGATGTCATGGCAGGATTTGGCTAACAAAGAAAATGTACTTTCTGCTTCATTCCTCCAATTTCCTCTCACAAACGAGTGGGCAAAATGCCAGAATCCAACCTATGCTTACAAGAAATAAACAGTAATTAATTAAGTGAATAGATACAAGTAATTTAAAGTTTAAAATAATTAATAATCCCAAATCTTAAAGGAGGGGGGCTTGACAGCTAAGAAGTTGCTAGATTGACAGGCTCATTGAGGTCTTATAATAAGGATCAGGTACAGCAAGAGAAGCAGCAGTGCAGGCTTACCTCACCCTATGCCCTACAAGTGTTTCTGACTCTTGACCTGAAAGGACAAACTTTAGGGACTCAAGTGTCCATGGCTTTCAATCCCTGGATTCCTTATGAGACTATCAAAGTTACCAATTAGTGCTAACCATGGTTGTCTTCTATATTGTGGACCCCTGTCTACTAGAAACTTGAATGAAGACACCAAATTCATTTCAGCTAGAAAAACATCACCTTGGTGCATACTCCAAAAACATGTTTGAAATTTGTATATTGCATATTCTTAACATACAGAAAACACAGTTAAAGACCACTGATCCTGTAAATGATGCAGATTTCAACCACTATATATATATATATATATATCAGATAAAATTAAAAATAATATTATTTTCAATTTTTTCTTAGTGAAAAGGTTGTGGTAAAATGGAACATTTAGCAAAATACATTACATTGTGTCAACAGTATTTCCATCTGAAATGTCGCACACATTTCACAAACTTCTTCATTATACTTCTGTGACAAAAGTGGGCTGTGTTTATCAAATGAACTCCATTTTGTACTATGCACTGAAGATATATCTAAACTTTCCCAAGGCAAGTAGGTAAGTATAGCGGTCAGTACGTTTCCTGTATAGGGTGGTGTTTATGTGGCCATCGCTTATTAGCACTGTAATGTCTAGGAAGTGGATCTCTTGTGTGGACTGGTCCAGGCTGAGGTTGATGGTGGGATGGAAATTGTTGAAATCATGGTGGAATTCCTCAAGGGCCAGGATGGTGTTTTCTGGAAGATCACCATCCTGGCCACTATGGATGTAGAAGCCATTTACACACAAAGATGGATGACAAGCCGTCAGGAACAGTATCCCCGATAATGTCATGGCAAACCTGGTGGCTGAACTTTGTGACTTTGTCCTCACCCATAACTATTTCACATTTGGGGACAATGTATACCTTCAAGTCAGCGGCACTGCTATGGGTACCCGCATGGCCCCACAGTATGCCAACATTTTTGTGGCTGACTTAGAACCACACTTCCTCAGCTCTCGTCCCCTAACGCCTGTACTCTACTTACCCTAGGTTGATGACACCTTCATCATCTGGACCCATGGATAAGAAGCCCCTGAGGAATTCCACCATGATTTCAACAATTTCCATCCCACCATCAACCTCAGCCTGGACCAGTCCACACAAGAGATCCACTTCCTGGACACTATGGTGCTAATAAGCGATGGTCACAAAACCACCACCCTATACCGGAAACCTAATGACTGTTATACTTACCTACATGCCTCCAGCTTTCATCCAGACCACATCACAAGATCCATTGTCTACAGCCAAGCTCTACGATACAACCGTGTTTGCTCCAACCCCTCAGACAGAGACAAACACCTACAAGATCTCTATCAAGCATTCTTAAAACTATAATACCCACCTGTGGAAGTGAAGAAACAGACTGACAGAGCCAGAAGAGTACCCAGAAGTCACCTACTACCGGACAGGTCTAACAAAGAAAGTAACAGAATGCCACTAGCCATCACCTTCAGCCCCCAACTAAAACCTCTCCAACGCATCATCAAGGATCTACAACCTATCCTGAAGGACGACCCATTACTCTCACAGATCTTGGGAGACAGGCCAGTCCTTGCTTACAGACAGCTCCCCATCCTGAAGCAAATACTCACCAGCAACCACACACCACACAACAAAAACATTATCCCAGGAACCTATCCTTGCAACAAAGGCCGTTGCCAACTCTGTCCACCTATCTATTCAAGGGACACCAACATAGGACCTAATCATATCAGCCACACGATCAGAGGCTCGTTCACCTGCACATCTACCAATGTGGTATATGCCATCATGTGCCAACAATGCCCCTCTGCCATGTACATTGGCCAAACCGGACAATCTCTACGCAAAAGAATAAATGGACACAAACCAGACATCAAGAATTATAACATTCAAAAACCAGTCAGAGAACACTTCAACCTCCCTGGTCCCTCAATTTCAGACCTAAAAGTCGCAATTCTCCAACAAAAAAACTTCAAAAAAAGACTCCAACGAGAAACTGCAGAATTGGAATTAATTTGCAAACTGGACAGCATTAAATTAGGCTTGAATAAAGACTGGGAGTGGATGGGTCATTACACAAAGTAAAAACTATTTCCCCATGCTAATTCCCCCCCCCCACACACTGTTACTCACACCTTCTTGTCAACTGTTTGAAATGGGCCATCCTGATTATCACTACAAAAGTTTTTTTTTCTCCTGCTGATAATAGCCCACCTTAATTAATTGGTCTTGTTGCAATTGGTATGGCAACACCCATTGTTTCATGTTCTCTGGTATGGCAACACCCATTGTTTCATATATATCTTCCTACTGTATTTTCCACTGCATGCATCTGATGAAGTGGGTTTTAGCCCATGAAAGCTTATGCCCAAATGAATTTGTTAGTCTCTAGGTGCCACAAGTACTCCTTGATTTTTTTGCTGATACAGACTAACACAGCTACCCCTCTGAAACCTTTGCTAAACCTGTGTTCCTTGCTTTCCTTTGTCCCCACAGGGCTTAAACTAGAAGCCCAGAGCATCCATAGCCTTAGTGGAGCTCCGCGGGAACATGAGTAAGCAACTGTGAGGCTCAGGAAGTCTCAGACACAGATTTCAAGGTCTAGGGCAGGAATGTCCTATGTCCCAAGGAAAGGCACAAAGAGGTCTAAGTCTTGGAGAGTGTCCTAAGGACCCAGACCCAGAAATGGTGATGAGATGCTATCCAGACCCAACTGGCTTGGAAGCACATGAGAGCCAGTATACATATTCACTCAGACTGGTGTCCATATAAAGGGGTATTGGGCCAGACGGTAACAACTTATACTTCCTATAAACTCCAAAAACGGAGTTCCAGGAAGCAAAACAAAAATCACAGTCCCTCCCAATCTACTTAAGTATAAACAAATAATTTGCCATCTTCCTTGTGAATGATCCAATCCAGATTTGTTTGCCTAAGTGTCACAGCAGAATTTGCTGAATATCTAAAATCCTTTTCACTAAAAAAAGGAAGCTAATTTCCTGAGTGTTAGTAATGTAAAAAGGTCATAGGAAAATTCTGCTTTTCTAAACACCTGATTCCTGCCAGTTTATTAAAAATGCTTACGCTGGGGACACAATTTATGTGACTTTAATTTTGCTCGAGGTAAAGCGTGCAAAAGTAGATAGTATCATTTAACCACTGTACTTGGAAACTGAAGTATTCCTCCTAAAACAGAATAGTGAACAAAGACAATGTTTGTCTGCTTGGAATTTGTAAGCTACATTAGTTTCTGACATACTAAACCACAAATGAAATGGTAGGGGAAAAACATTATTGACATTTAAATAAAATTTAATTTCAGTGCTTGAATTTTTAAATTTTCACTAACTTTAAACAGTGATGATCTAACAGTAAATTTCTTCTGACTTATATCAACTTTAGAAATAAAAATCCAACATTTTACTGAGAAATTAAAAAAATTCATTGGTAAGGCCCACACAAAATAATGCTCTCAGCACCTTTTTGTAGCTCTGATTAGAAGTTACCACAAACTATTTCCAGATATCGCACATTCCCGCTGATTCAATAGATGCTGTTGGTATACAAACAAGGATATACATGAGAAGGAGCTAGATTCATATGGGGGTAGAGTGTGGGAGAAGAGAATCAAATCTGCCAAATAAGATGGGACAAAATATGAGAGATTCTCCCTCGCCCACACACACATACTTTTAAAAATGGATTACACAGTCAGCAGAAAGTTCAAAACAAAAAATTTGTTTAGGGATGCTTCTCATTACAAGGGTCATGGAAGTGAAGTCAGCAGTTCTCCAGTGATTTACCCCCGAGTTTTGGCAACAAGAGGATTAAGCCATTTGTTTTCTAAAGCATTTAAAAAGGAATATTTCTAGTTGTTTTATGTTCACAATAGATGATTAATAAAGAATATAAAAAATACACAAGACTTAAAAATAGTAAAATAAAAAAGTCTGTTGTCTCAAATCCTATTTAACTAATTAAATTTTGTAACTAAGAAGGAAAAGGAACAATAGTATTCAGCACTTAATTAGTTGCTTCTAGCACACTTGAGAATATGCTGAATAGCATATATGCTAAGTGTTATGTACGCTAAGTACCATTGTGTTCTGCACGGGCTGAAATTGTGGAAAAGCAGCATCACTTGCCCCATAACCTCAGCCGTGCAGAACACAACAACATCCACAGCCTCAGGAACAACTCTGACATCATAATCAAAAAGGCTGACAAAGGAGGTGCTGTCGTCATCATGAATAGGTCGGAATATGAACAAGAGGCTGCTCGGCAGCTCTCCAACACCCTCTGATCCCACTGAGGGTTACCAAAAGAAACAACACCATCTGCTCAAGAAACTCCCTGAAAAAGCACAAGAACAAATCCGCACAGACACACCCCTGGAACCCCGACCAGGGGTATTCTATCTACTACCCAAGATCCATAAACCTGGAAATCCTGAACGCCCCATCATCTCAGGCATTGGCACCCTGACAGCAGGATTGTCTGGCTATGTAGACTCCCTCCTCAGGCCCTACGCTACCAGCACTCCCAGCTATCTTCGAGACACCGCTGACTTCCTGAGGAAACTACAATCCATCGGTGATCTTCCTGATAACACCATCCTGGTCACTATGGATGTAGAAGTCCTCTACACCAACATTCCACACAAAGATGGACTACAAGCCATCAGAAACAGTATCTCCGATAATGTCACGGCAAACCTGGCGGCTGAACTTTGTGACTTTGTCCTCATCCATAACTATTTCACATTTGGGGACAATGTATACCTTCAAATCAGCGGCACTGCTATGGGTACCCGCATGGCTCCACAGTATGCCAACATTTTTGTGGCTGATTTAGAACAATGCTTCCTCAGCTCTTGTCCCCTAAAGCCCCTACTCGCGCTATACTGATGACACCTTTATCATCTGGACCCATGGAAAAGAAGCCCTTGAGGAATTCCACCATGATTACAAAAATTTCCATCCCACCATCAACCTCAGCCTGGACCAGTCCACACAAGAGATCCACTTCCTGGACACTATGGTGCTAATAAGCGATGGTCACAAAACCACCACCCTATACCGGAAACCTAGTGACCGCTATGCCTACCTACATGCCACCAGCTTTCATCCAGACCACAGCACACGATCCATTGTCTACAGCCAAGCTCTATGATACAACCGCATTTGCTCCAACCCCTCAGACAGAGACAAACACCTACAAGATCTCTATCAAGCGTTCTTACAACTACAATACCCACCTGCTGAAGTGAAGAAACAGATTGACAGAGCCAGAAGAGTACCCAGAAGTTACCTACTACAGGACAGGCCCAACAAAGAAAACAACAGAATGCCACTAGCCGTCACCTTCAGCCCCCAACTAAAACCTCTCCAACGCATCATCAAGGATCTACAACCTATCCTGAAGGACGACCCATCACTCTCACAGATCTTGGGAGACAGGCCAGTCCTTGCTTACAGACAGCTCCCCATCCTGAAGCAAATACTCACCAGCAACCACACAGCACACACCACACAACAAAAACACTAACCCAGGAACCTATCCTTGCAACAAAGCCTGTTGCCAACTCTGTCCACTTATCTATTCAGGGGACACCATCATAGGGCCTAATCACATCAGCCACACTATCAGAGGCTCGTTCACCTGCACATCTACAAATGTGATATATGCCATCATGTGCCAGCAATGCCCCTCTGCCATGTACATTGGCCAAACTGGACAGTCTCTATGTAAAAGAATAAATGGACACAAATCAGACGTCAAGAATTATAACATTCAAAAACCAGTCGGAGAATACTTCAATCTCTCTGGTCACGCGATTACAGACCTAAAAGTGGCAATTCTTCAGCAAAAAAACTTCAAAAACAGACTCCAATGAGAAACTGCTGAATTGGAATTAATTTGCAAACTGGATACAACTAACTTAGGCTTGAATAAAGGCTGGGAGTGGATGTATCGTTACACAAAGTAAAACTATTTCCCCATGTTTATTCCCCCCCCCCCCCCGTTCCTCACACGTTCTTGTCAACTACTGGAAATGGCCCACCTTGATTATCACTACAAAAGGTTCCCCCTCCCTGCCTGTCTCTCCCCCCCCCCCGCTCTCCTACTGGTAATAGCTCATGGTAACACCCATTGTTTCATGTTCTCTGTGTGTATAAAATCTCCCCACTGTATTTTTCACTACATGCATCCGATGAAGTGAGCTATAGCTCATGAAAGCTTATGCTGAGATAAATTGGTTAGACTCTAAGGTGCCACAAGTCCTCCTTGTTCTTTTTGCGGATACGGACTAACACGGCTGTTACTCTGAAACCAACCCTTTACTACCAAGGCACTGATTAATAGGAATAACTAAGCTCAGATAATACCATGACACACACACTTACGGGCTCCAGATGCTGTATGTGGCAGATGTCTCCAATTGCTCCAGCATCTAGTAGCTCCTATATAAACAGACAGCGAGGAAACATAACTCAGTTTGCTCTGCCTACTCAGGGACACAAAGCCTCTTTCTGATACCACAAATAGACATGGCAACTCTTGCGAATTTATCGCGAGTCACAATTTCTGAGTCAAATTAAGTCTCACTCACAATCTAGCGATAGAACTCTCGAATGTCAGGATCTTTTTTGAGCTGCAGCACATTCTGAAAATGGGTTTCTGGCCAAACAGGAGCTACCTCCACAAACAAAGGAATGTGGTTTCTCCAGTAGACAGTTACTTCCAAAGTACTTTGAAAGACATTGAGAATTTCATTTACATATCAGATAAACCAAGCTATCAAGCTGGGGGGAAGGGGGGAAGAGGGAGAGACACCATGGCTACACCCCAGCAGGGAAGAGAAACTTCATCTGAGGTATAAAGAAGGGGGAGAGCCAAACCTCAAATAAGCAATTGAATCAACTGGGAAAAAAAGAACGTACTCACCTTGTGCGGTAAAGATGGTTCTTCGAGATGTGTGTCCCTGCGGGTGTTCTACTGTAGGAGTACGTGCGCCCCCCTGCGCTGCTGATCAGAGAACTTCAGTAGCCGTGTCTGTTGGGCTCGCAGAGTCATGGCGAGAACTCCGAAGCAGAGGGGAGGAGGGTGGGTAGTGGAGCACCCGCAGGGACACACATCTCCAAGAATCATTGTTACTGCACAAGGTAACTTCTTTGAGTAGTGTCCCTATGGGTGTTCCACTGTAGGTGACTCCCAAGCAGTACCCCCCTTGGAGGGCTGGGACTTCGGAGTTAGGTTAGTCACAGATGAAAGTACTGTGGAGCCAAAGATGGCATCAGAGGCAGAGTCCCCGATGATTGCATAATGTTCTGCGAAGGTGTAGACTGATGCATCCATCAACCCTTAACCAGGGGGCAGGTCTACTCAGGGAGACCAGGGGTTTAAAAAGCCTGCTCCTAAGTGACCAGAGGAGATAGCAAAAAGAAGCAGCTAACAGGGGAGTTTTGCGAAGGAGTTCTCCAGGTGAAGGAGGAGCAATTATGTGAGCCTTAGGGTGAGTTTGTTGTCTGTAGTGTGTGTGTTTGTGGTGTGCTTGCTGCTTGACTGAAGTATATAGTGTGGTTGGTTTGTCTGGAGGACCATGAGCTGAGTCTAGCAAGGCTGAGAGCTTCTTAACCAGGCTTTCATCCCTAAGCCCCTTAGCACCCATCAACCCTTAACCAGGGGATGGGGCTACTTGCGGAGACCAGGGATTTAAAAAGCCAGCTCCTAAGCGACCAGAGGAGCTAGCAAACACAAGCAGCCACCAGGGGAGTTTTGTGAGGGAGTTTAGAGGGGGAGTGTGTGGTGGAGGCTAGATACACTTAACATTCTTTAAGGCAATAAAAAACCCATGATAAAAACAAAACAACAACAACAGAGGAAAGAGCTGCAGGAGTAAAAAGAGAATGCAGGCAGAAGACCAGCAACAGAGTGGGGCTACCCAGTTTACTGCACTCAATGCAGCATGTATGATTATCCTCCCTATGGTATGCATACATTCAGTGCAAGGAGCTCGTGACCCTAAGAGACAGTGTACGAGCCTTGGAGACCAGGGTGGCTGAACTGCAGGAGCTAAAGGAGACAGAGAGGTACACAAATGAGGCTTTCCAGGATACAGCAGAACGATCCCAACCCCAGTCTGACAGCCTCTGTGCTGTTGAGGAGGATGAAAGTCTCAAGGGAAGGAGAATACCAAACTGGAGCAGAGGGGAAAGATCCCATAGTTGGGACCCTCCTTCCAGATGATGTCATGGTATCCTCTTGCACTGAGGATACCTCTCCAGGGGAGAAAACTCCAGTTATTAGGAAGAGACAGGTAATAGTAATAGGGAATTTGATCATTAGAAACATAGATAGCTGGGTTTGAAATGACTGGGAGAACTGCATGGTGACTTGCCTTCCAAGTGGGAAGGTTGCAGATCTCTCAAGACATGGGGAGGAGCCTGTGGTCCTGGTACATGGAGGTATCAATAACAAAGGGAAGGATAGGAGAAAGGTCCTGGAGGCGAAATTTAGGCTCATGGTATAACTCATTTGCCTCTCTCCAGTGTCACTATTCTGTAGTATCAAATGTATTTATAGCTAAATATCAATTTAAGTCAAACTTAACAGCATCTCTTTTAACTTGTCAAGATCGTTGTGACCCCGGAAGCCTCTCACTGCCAGCCAGCAGAGGACGCAACATATCGTAACTCATACGAGACCTGACACACTCATTGCCCCACCTCACTATAGTCATAATCTGTATCTAAAAGGTGTCTTGTAAGGTATCCTATATAAACTGGTGACAAGCTGGTCATTCATATTATTGTGGGGTGTATGAAGAATTATAAATATGTGCCGGAAATATATTCTCAAAATGTGTTTGGCAGGCAGTGTTTAAGTCATCCTGTTCTGGACAAAGAAACGTGGTTCCTCTTGCTTGGATGTTTCTCCAATGTAAACTGAACAAGAGAGACAATTAAATTACTTTTACATGCAAGACAGACAAAGCCATTAGGCAAACCAGTGTGGGGGGTGGCCACTTAATTCTCTCAGTGCAGGATGGACGCTGCAGCTCCAGGAAACCTTCCCGCATCCTGAAGCAATATCATTGAACTTTGGAAAATATAAACAAGGACAAAGAGCCATCTTGGGTATCCATTACTGAGCAGATGCAAAATGTCAGAGCTCCTGTACATCTCAGAAAAGTGGAACCTTTTAACAAAGAGGGTTGGAAGTCTCTGAAAACTGAACATAAGTGAGAAACTTGATTAGACCAAGACTGTAGCTTGCTGAAGTTAAATTTAATCACTAGAAAGCATATTTTGGTTGTAACTTTTCATCTCTTTCCCTCTTACTAGACCTCACTTAAATCCTATGGTCTTTGCTAACCAACTTATTTTTAGTTTTACTACAAACCAGCTCAATGCTATACATTTCAAACGAGTGCGGGCTTTCAACTAAACTAGCAGGTTGGTGTTTGTTCTGTGTCTTTGGAGGCAGTGAACTTACTATCTTCTGTGAGGGTCCACTGAGAAGGACTGGATACTGCAGGGGAGCCAGTCTGGGAGGAATTCGGGGCTGGAGGGGCTGCTGGGGTCACCCTTCCAGGCTGGTGGAAGTCAGGGTGAGACCATTGTGCTGTGAGCATGATACTAGAGTCAGGGCTCGGAGCCAAGGCCACACCACGGAACCAAGGGTGCAAGGCAGGTGGTGCCAGAACAGGCCCGGGTTGAAACCCAAAGCATCACACTGAGGTCTTACACAGAAGCGAACCATTATGGACTTTTTTGGGAAATAAAGACTTGCTATCTTTCCTCAAAGTGGGAATTAACTGTTCCAACTCCATACCCCCTTTACCCTTCCAGATAATATGATACTTTTGTAATCCTATATTTTAACTGCCATGCATTTCTAGGCAACGTGTGCCCATTTGATAATCTTTCATAATACACATTTCCACAGCTCAAATCTGTCGTTAAATCTGATTGTCAACTAAAGCTTTACAAATACAGGTTTCATCTAATTACAACCACTGACAAGGCCCCCACATACTCAATTAAGTACAAAATCAAGCATCCACAAGACTCAAATAGTTGGCAAGGAAGGCAGGGACTCCAGAGTCACACAGGCAGCCATCTCAAAGGAACCACTCTTCATGCACTGGTTGAGACCAGGTCTCCATCCGCCGTTCTTTTTCTGGGTTAAGAAATAGTGAGAATAAACACTGTTCCCTATGTGTTATGATGGTAGTGGTCCCATGGCACCCAAATGTAGGAGGTGGTTTACTTCTTCCCGTAGAGGATGTTTATGAGAGGGGTCACTGAAGAGAGACAGGAAGGGAGAGTGGGTAGGGGGGGGATGGAGATGAATGGTATTGAATAATCTGTGCTGAGTATTTCTAGAACCCATTTGTCCATGGTGATGGCCTTCCATGCTGAGTAGAAAGGGGTCAAATAGTGTCCAAAATGGGGGTCAATAATGGTTTCAGCACTGAGGAATGGGGGAGGTGTCTCAGGCCCTCGAACAAACCCTCAAAATTATTGTTTTGCAGAGGGTTGCTGGGACACTGATGATTGAGCAGGGAGTGGTCGACACCTTGGAGATCTGTCTGCGTTTTTGTGTATCATATTGTCTCTGTTCCCGGGCGTAGGGGGCAGCTCTTGCAAGCTGGGTTGAATAGTATTTCCCCTGTTTTTTCCTCTGCAGATGTGTATATCCTGAGGGAATGAAGAGTTGTCCTAGACGTCTTCAAGGTGTGAAGGGACTCATCGGTCATCATGGCAAACAACTTCAGACCATTAAAAGGGGGATCCTCCACAGTCGATGTACTTTCCTTGAGAAGCCGGATAAGTGAAGCAATGAAGCCTGACGCGTGACTATGGTGGTAGCTTTGGAACGTGCCCCCATATCTGCCACATCTAGAGACGTCTGTAAAGCAATTCTGACTAGGCAATGGCCCTCTGCAATCATCACTTTGAATTGTTCTTTTTTGTCCTCTGGTATATATTCAATAAAGTCTGACATTTTGGAGTACAGTGATTCCTTGCTTAACGTTGTAGTCATGTTCCTGAAAAATGCTACTGTAAGCAAAAAGATGTTAAGTTAATCCAATTTCCCCATAAGAATTAAAGTAAATAGAGGGGTTAGGTTCCAGGGAAAAAAATTTCACCAGACAAAAGACATTGCATACATATACAGGATAAGTTTTAAATGATTTTAAACAAACGATGTAATACTGTACTCACCAATGATGATTGTGAAGCTTGGCTGAGGCAGGGGCATAGCGGGGTCGGGGTGTGGGGGCTTGCCTGTTCCCTGGCTGGAATGCCAGGAGGGCAAAATGGGGTAAGCCCCTGCGCCCTGACCCCACTCCCTGGTAGGAGCGTTGGGCGGGCGGAGCAGGGCAAGCCCCCGAGCCCTGACCCCGCTCCCCGACTGGAACGCCAGGCAAGTGGGTGGACCAGGGAAAGCCAAACAACCTTATAACGGAACATTGCACGACTTTAAACGAGCATGTTCTCTAATAGATCAGCAACCTAATAACAAAACAATGTTAACTGGGACAAATTTAAGTGAGGAGTTACTGTAATTTGTATGGTCATATTTTTCCATCAGTGCAGCATAGTTAGCAGTTGAAATTGGAAAGTGGCCGATGAACAGGCCTTGCGGTCAAAGCAGTCTAACCGTTTCCATACTTTGTCATAGGGAGTGGATCTGCAGTGGTGTGGGGTGAGAGAACAAAAAGTCCATCTCCTTTGAGTGGACATAATATTTTTTTATCTGCTCTTTTGTAAGTGGGCGGGATAGTTGCCAGGGTCTGCCATATATTTCTTGCTGGTTCCATAAGTGCTTCATTTACTGGAAGTGCAATCTTTGATGATGTTTGCAGAATGTCTAGTAATTTATGTTGGGACACTGGAACCTCCTCTAGAGACTCTCTAGGGAATCGGTAGTTCTTCTGAACAGCTCTTGAAAGTATCTGAAATCATTGGCTGTTATGGGTGATGGAGGCATCATGGCCTCATCGAAGGAAGAAGAGAAAATGTTGGTTGTTGGGGTAGTTTCTTGTTCCAGGGTTTCTTCCTGTTATTCAAAAATTTCACTGAGAGTGATGGAGGAGATCTAGTCCTCTCTATAGAGTTCGGGAGTCTAGGGTATTGTCTCCTGTATGTCCCCCGGGGTCCCCGTAGGGCCATTATGTAGGGAATGGCATAGATGATGGCATCCATGGGTGCCCATATTGTATCTAGGTGTCAGCTCAGTGGTGATATTTGGGCTGTACAGCTGGACCTAATACCATACTAGTTTGAATGGGAGAGGAATGGCATGATGAGTAAGTGCCCTCTTCTTCATCCTCCCTGGAAAATGGAGGGGCCAGAGGTGAGGTGGGTTGGCATGGGTGCCATGTGCACCAGAGTAACATCTGTGCTGAGGAGTGGTGAGGCTGGGGTTGACCAGATGAGTCAGTCCTTGTGGTGAAGGAATTAGTGCAGTACCGATGGTTTCGGTGCCGAGGCGGGCCAGATGCACTGTGCCGTCGCAGCTGGAGACATCTGTGCGGACGTCAGAGCACGCTGCGCCATGGGAGCTGAAGGTGGTGCCGTAGCCTGTGGAGAACCTGTCAGTCTCACACGTTTGGACAGCTCTGTCGGTACTGTGGTGGAGGAGGCAGGCATCTCTTTGCCTCCTGACTGGGCCTGCCCGCTTGTGGTCGCTGGCTTTTTTAGTACGCTACTGGAGCATAGGCACCGACTCCACGGGTGCTCTGGGGCTGCAGCACCCACAGGGAAAAATTGGTGGGTGCTCTGCACCCAACGGCAGCTCCCCGCCCCGCCCCCCCGCCTTAGCTCACCTCTGCCTCTGCCTCCGCCCCGAGCACGCCGCCATGTCCTGCTTCTCCCCCCTCACTCCCAGCGCTTGCACCGCGAAACAGCTGTTTTGCACGGCAAGCCTGGGGGGAGGGGGGAGGAGGCGGGGCCGGGGCTGGGGCAGGGATTTGGGGAGGGGTCCAATAGGGGCAGGGAGGGGCGGAGTTAGGGCGGGGACTTTGGGGCAGGGGTGGAGTAGGGGTGGGGCCGGGGGCGCGAGCACCCACTGGCACCGAAAAAGGTTGGCGCCTGTGTACTGGAGGACCCTGGTGCTTTGTACGTACTCAGCCATGGTGCGACTGGTACTGAGGACTGAGAACAAGCCGGAGACCGTTTCTTTTTCAGTGGCTCTTTAAGAGGGGAAGTTGGTCCCTGTTTTCTTGCCATCTTTTTAGAGGAGTGATCTTTCCTCTGTGACACAGGTGAAGTCTGTGTGTCAGAAGTGGTTGTTGGACAATGGCGTCCAGAGGGAAGCTGCTGACTGGGGTCGGATGCCGAGCGTAGTGACTTCTCCATTAGAATAAGTTTAAGTTTTAAATCTATTGTTTTCCTGGGGCGAGCTTTTAAGTTGTGGCAGCGAGAGCATTCTTGTGGGATGTGTGTCTCAACAAGGCACCAGATGCACTGAGTGTCCATCGGAGATTTGGAATCGCCTCCCCACAGGAAAGGCACCTCTTGAAACCCAGTGAACCAAGCATGGCTCCAATCGTAGCGAGTCTGCCATAAGGGTGAAAATGCACTACCCTAGGGGGTAATCAAACTTAAATAACGAGGAAAAAAATTGAGAGAGAAAAAAAAGAAGAAATGGGGATAACGGGGTTAGTGAAATCTAACTAGAGTACTAAATAGGCCATTCTGATGCTAAAGCTAAGTATCAAGTGTTACGCTTCCGAGAGCTGTGTCAGGCCGAGGGCAAATGAGAAGGAACCGGGGGGGTCTGGTTGCACAGCACTAGATAGGCATCAACAACGGTGCAAATTGGTGAGGGCACATGTGCGACCCAGACAGGCAATGCTGCTGAAATTCTCCAATCAAAGGTGCAGGGACGCTCATTCACCTGAAGTGGAGCACCGACAGGGACACTCCTCGAAGGAGAATCCTAAATTTCAGCTGACATGCATTTCTAGACAATGTGTGCGCCAATTTGATAATCTTCCATAATACACATTTCCACAGCTCAAATCTGTCATTAAATCTTGTTGTTAATTAAAATTTTAGCTCTAAAACTTTACGAATACATTTTTCATCTATTTACAACCACTGACAAGGCCCACATATACTCAATTCAGTACAAAATCAAACATCCACAAGACTCTGAAATAGCGGGCAAGGAAAGCAGGGAGTCTGGAGCCACCCAGGTAATCATCTCAAAGTAACCCCTCTTTATGCACTCAAGTCTTAGTCCCCAGAACCAAAGAAGTTACATAGAGGAGTCTCAGTTCCCTCCAGGTAGCAGTGTTGCATTTCCCACTGATACAGCACACTCTAACAGCTCCAAAGTAGCCTTGTAGAAAGATTTCTAAAAGACGTTTAAAGCTTGCTGGTCCTGGAATGCCAGCTAATTTATAGCCTAATCCATTTGGGCAATCTCTTAATGGAATTTCATTTACAGCCTTATTTTCTCAGTTAACTGAACACCTAAAGTCCTGGCCTAAACTTTCACAGCTGCTTCTTGTAATTCTAAATGATTATTTTTCATGCGCTGACAACCAATCACAGTAGTACTAGGAGTGTGACACATAGCAGTACAGGAATTTATTGACCCTACTCCCATGACCAATGTCAAGCTCACGAAAGTTAATACTCATATCACATAGCAGGAATGAACATTTACTGACTCCACTGGTTACTGTTCAAGCAATAAGTATACCTTTATCTTCAGTGAGGCTGGATAGTACCGCAGGACATGGCACACTGCAAGCATGACATTGTTAGCTTTACATACAGACACAATTTCTTTGCAGTCCTCAGGTGTTACCTTATAAACCAGAGAAAACAACCCAGTCAGTTATTTCTATTCTGCCTGCATTATGTACCACAGTTACTGCATGAATCTGCTAATTGTCACAACACTAGCAATTTGAAAAATACATTTTATTAAATATCTTTGTAGGCACTTATGTGCTAAATTGAAATTTTATCTGCAACTGTATGAAAATGGCACTCACCAATAATTCTCTAGTTATGTATATGTTTGCACTATCAATAGAAACTACATTTAACTAGACCAAAGCACTCTTCTGCAGGGTGAAACTTGTCATCCAAGATTTCAGCACATATTTTGATGTTTGGAAGGACCTACCATACTGGATATCAAAGTATCTGACATTAGAGGAAGGGTGGTTTTAAGGCACTACCCTTGGGACTCCTTGATCTTACGACATTCGACTTACGACGAATGGCACTTATGGCGTTTCTGAATCGACCCCCGATTCGACTGATGACAATTGGTTTTGACTTTACGACACTTGTTCCCGCAATGGAGTGCATTGCAGTTCCACGTTATGACGTTTTGACTTACGATGCAATTTTTCAGGAACCAACTGTGTCATAAGTCCGAGGACTGCCTGTATTGGGATCAACTCCTAGGCTCTGCCAGACTCTGTTACCATGAGTATGTTGCTTCTCTGTGCCTCAATTTCCATCTATAAAATGAAGATAATATTCCTTCTTTTTCCCACACTGTGTCTATCTTGTCTATACTCTTTGAGGGGAAAGATTGTCTCTTCCTACATTTATGTATAACACTGAAAGCACACTAATACAAATATAAACAATAATAAAAGATATGTTATTTATATAGCACCCCAAAACTGGTGAAGATTTAATCCATCTGTAAAGCAACTTCAATAGTACAAACTTGGAAGTGCAAAAACATTTATGTAGAAAGACAGGTAGATTGCAGGAACTGGTGTTCCTCCGACTCTCAGAATTAGCTCCCGTGCCCACTGAAGTCAATGGCAAGGCTCCCACCGACATCAGAGGTGCAGGTTCAGGGTACCTTATTGCAGATAGCAGGACAGTATTAAACCAAACATTTCATTTCTTCTTCTTCTAGATTCTGCAATGAAGTCAAAATCCGGTGCCTAACGTTATGGTCTATTGCCAGAGAAATTACATGATACCATAAATTTAACATGACCACCTTACTGCAAGATCCCAAAGCCAGAGATGTGCTGTAAGGAAGCAAACCTTACACTATAGTTACAGACAGGCAGAATATTATTTATTACATTAACACCAACATGTGCTAGGGCTGTACAAACACACACACACACACACACACTTTAAGGGAGTTTCTACCCTAAGGAGTTTATATTCTAAGTGAAATGAAAATAGGAAGGATCAGGGCAAGGAAGACTATGTACAATTTTTTTTTCCATTTTTTGTTTATTAAATATAAAAGAATATGGATCAGGGCTTTCATAATTAGCAAATGTAGCAGAAAAGATACTAAGACAAATTGATTGAAGATTTTACCCTGATATTTGAAAATTATCCCCACTGTTTAAACTTTAACATTATGATCTTGCTTAACTTACTGCCATGGGCTTTTCCAACAAAATGTGGTAGCCTTTGTTAGCAAAAGCTATCGCTGGACCCTAGGAAAAGAGAGAAACCAAAGAGACAAGTTACAAGAAACTAAATGTTTCTCCCTATCATTGTTTACTCACAATTAGAAATAAACAACATTTTTCAGACGAACAGTTTATTCAACAAAATATGCAGTTTCGGGCTACCAAAACTACGTGAGAATTTCACACAACTTCACTAGATAGTTTTGGCCCATAACATTTTCTGGGCTAGATTTGCAAGGGGCGTTAGATGTCATTCACAAAACCAAAGGAAGCGGAAATGCCTCCCCCACTCCATAGACCCATGGTACAGCACTTACCTAGGGCCCTGTGTACCCTGGCAAGTTTGCGTGCAGTAAAGCAGCTGTGAGCGCTGTAGCTCTCGAGGTGCACAGATGGCCAAGGAACCGAGTGCGCAGAAACTGTGCAGATGCAGCGCTCTAAGATAACCACCCCGAGGAGGGGCATAGAGCTTTCTGTGCTGGGGCTCACAGCACTCTGGTGCCTGTGTAGTCGCCAGGGTGATGACACTGCTGCGATTGGCCTCCAGGAGGGGTCCCACAATATCTGTTCTTACCTCTCTGCCCATCGGTTTGAACTCGACTGCCCTGCCCTCAGGTGACCCACTGTCAGCCCCACCCCGGACATTCCTGTGCAAATTTGAAAGTCCCCTTCCTGTTTGCTCGGTGGTACGTGCAGTGGTCTCAGCGCATCTTTCCAGGTGGCCACGCCTGCTCCACGCACCAGGCGGTCCCCTGCTTGGAGCAATGCCAAGCTGCTGGACCTCATCGGGATTTGGGGAGGGGAGGCTGTGCAGTCCCAGCTGTGCTCCAGCCGTTGGAATGATGATACCTACAGACAGATTTCTAGATGCTTGACAGAAAAAGGCCATGACCGGGACACACGGCCTTGTGGGGTCAAAGGGAAGGAGCTGCGGAACGCCTACCGCAAGGCATGGGAGGCAAACTGCCACTCCGGTGCTGCACCCACCAGCTGCTGGTTCTACAAAGAGCTGGAAGCGATACTCGGTGGTGACCCCACCTCCACTGCAAAGTCCCCTGTGGATACTTCATTGGCTTGCGTGCCAGTTGAGAGTGCACTGAGCCGGGAGGAGGCAATCTTGGATGAAGGAGGGAGGGGAACCCAGAGGCAGAGGATGACTTGGAGGCCAGAGATGCATGCAGTCAGGAGCTCTTTTCTACCCTGGAGGAGCCTAGCCAGTCACAGCGGTTGGATCTTGCCGAAGCACAGACAAGAGAGGAGGCCCCTGGTAAGTGGATCTGAGTTTGAGAATTGCTGACGTGAGATGCTGGGGGCAGGAGGGTTGCAGGAAGCAGGCTTGTCTCCCACCGCATGCCTAGTTTGAGCAGCGGAACAGGCTGTTGATACACTCCCTTACTTCACGGGGATCTCCCTCAGAGATCTCCAGGAAACTCTCGTGGAGACACTGGGCAATCCACTGCCGCAGGTTCCTTGACAGAGCTGCTTTGTTTCTTGCCCTATTAACCATAAATTTCCTGCAGCACTGTGCCATTATGGGTGGGGTGAGGGGACACCATTGCTGCACAGAGGCTAGCTGCATAGGGGCCAGGGCGGAAGCCACAGGCCTGGAGAAAACCCTCCCTTGATTCCCTGCTCACCCTCAGCAGCGAGATATCTTCCATAATGACCACCTCCTGTGGAATGTGTGAGGAGAGGAATGATTATCCGGCCCCCCCTACGGTGCTCGCTGTCCCCAAGTGCCCAAGAGCCATGTGCCCAGTGTACAACAGGGTCCGGGAACAATGATTTACCCTGCCCCTGCAGCTACTCACCATTTTGGGAGTCTTGTGGCTTGTGTGTGCTTGCCTGGGGTCAGCCAATTAGTGTCAGGTGTGAGAGTACTGGCTGTGTTTTAAAGCATTGAAACAGTGTTGTCTATGTTGCAAACAATACTGTTTCTGTAAAATGTTGCATTTAAACTTCACAGAGAGGACCTTGGGAGGCCAGCCTCCCTTATGGACGGCAGAACGGTTGTGAAGAATTAGGAAGCGTCCAAGAAGAACTAAGGAGGAATTTATGCGTGAGGTTATGATGCACTCCGCCGCTGAGAAAAAGGAATTGAAGGAGTGGCAGGACAGCGAGAAGAGGGAACGAAAGGAGAATGCGGCACACCAGAAAGAACCACCGAGCAGCTCGTAATAGTTCTGGAGCGCCAAGCAGACACACTCCAGGTGATACTAGCTGTTCAAACTGAGCAGCTCTGCGCCCCCCCTCCTCTGCAGCCGCTGTCGCAAAACTCTTTCCCATGCGCCCCCCAGACACACACACACACACACACACACTCCCCGCCAACACACTCCTATCAACCTCCTAGCTCCACTGTCTACCCGCAGCATTCCACTCCTCCCTCCTCACAGTCCAGCAGTGTGGACTCCCACTACGTACTGCACTCAACACCCATCCCTCTGCAGTTTGGCCCTGCTGAAGTACAGCACCCGCTGCATCGTACTCCAAAGGAGAAGGTTGGGTGTGATCCCTGGGCACACACAAATCTGTAGCCATCCCGGGACCCCTCCTCCTCTTGAGACCTTCCCTTCCCCCATCCCCCTCCCTGCTGATGAACTTTTTCGTTTGACTCTCTCCTCTGGTTGTTGTCTTTCAATAAAAGAATTGTTTGTTTGAAACCAATCTTTTTTCTATTAAGTGAAAGCAAAAAGAGCACTACAAAGCAACATACAATTATGTTAAGGCCCCTTCTTGCATCATGTGCACCATCCACCTCTTAGCATTACAAGCACCGCAATCCCGAGCATAGCAACAAATATTAGTGGCTTTCAGCTTCAGATTTCTGCCTCAAAGCATCCCTGATCCTTGTGGCCCCGTGCTGTGCCCCTCTAATAGCCGTGGTCTCCGGCTGTTCAAACTCAGCCTCCAGGCGCTGAGCCTCTGCGGTGCAGCCCTGAGTGAAGCTTTCATTCTTCCCTTCACAAATACTATGGAGCGTACAGCACGCGGCTATAAGCATAGGAATATTGTCATCGGCCATGCCCAGCTTCCCATACAGGCATCACCAGTGGGCTTTTAAACGGCCGAATGCACACTCCACAGTCATTCTGCACTTGCTCAGCCTGTTGTTGAACCGCTCCTTGCTGCTGTCAAGTTGCCCCGTGTAGGGTTTCATGAGCCACAGCATTAAGGGGTAGATGGGGTCTCCCAGGATCACAATGGGCATTTCGACTTCCCCTACGGTGATCTTCTGGTCCGGGAAGAAAGTCCCTGCTTGCAGCTTCTTGAACAGGCTAGTGTTCCAAAAGATGCATACGTCCGGCACCTTTCTGGACCAGCCTGCGTTAATGTCTGTGAAACGCCCACGGTGATCCACAAGTGCCTGGAGAACCACTGAGAAATACCCCTTCCAATTAACGTACTCGGTGGCTAGGTGGTCTGGTACCAGAATTGGAATGTGTGTGCTATCTATCACCCCTCCACAGCTGGGAAGCCCATTTGTGCAAAGCCATCCATAATCTCACACACGTTGCCCAGAGTTACGGTCTTTCGGAGCAGGATGCGATTGATGGCCCTGCATACTTCCATCAACACGACTCCAATGGTCGACTTTCCCACTCCAAACTGGTTAGCAACCGATCGGTAGCAGTCTGGAGTAGCCAGCTTCCACAGCGCAATTGCCACGCACCTCTCCAGCGACAGGACAGCTCTCATTCTCGTGTCCTTGCTCCGTAGGGCTGGGGTGAGCTCATCACACAGTCCCATGAATGTGGCTTTCCTCATGCAAAAGTTCTGTACCCACTGCTCATCATCCCAGACATGCATCACGATGTGATTCCATCACTCCGTGCTTGTTTCCTGAGCCCAAAAGCAGCGTTCCACTGTGGTCAGCACCTGCGTGAATGCCACAAGCATTCTCATGTCACAGCTACTACGTGTGGCGAGATCGATGTCACACTCCTCTTGCCTTTGTAGTTTAAGGAATAACTCCACTGCCACTCGTGACATGTTGGTCAGTGTGAACAATATTCTGGTCAACAGCTCGGGATCCATTCCTGCACCCAGAAAGAGGCAGGGCAGGACGTGCAGTACACAAACCGTTGAAAGATGGCCCCAAATGCGGACGAAAACACAGGGATCGCTGGGATGCGAAGCAATGCATCATGGGGAATTGAGACAAGACCCAGGATGTCCCGCTACCCCTTCTACCTTCCCACAAGTCTTAGTGGCAAAAGAGAAAGAGGTGCCCTGTGGGATAGCTGCCCAGAGTGCACTGCTCCGAATAGTGCCGCAAGTGTGAACATGCTATTGCGCAGGCAGCTGTCAGTGTGAACACACAACAGTGGTTTTCCTTCGGCGCTCTCTGAGCAGCACTGTAACTGCCGGTGCTGTAACTTTGCCAGTGTAGACGTGCCGTAGGATGTCTGAGGCCCAGGTTCAAGTCCCCATTCCATCTCATTCAGAGGAGGGATTTGAACTAGGGACTCCCACTTCCAGCAGAATAGTCCAGTGGTTATGGTACTGAGTATTCTGGGATAGCATCAACTCAGTCACTCCTATGGAAGCTGTTACACTTGGTATAAAATACTTAAATAGTCACTGGGGTAGAGACAGAGAATGACACTACAGCCTGCTGGTTAGGAGACTGTCTGGAAGGAGACACCTGCATTCCACTCCCTCCTCCAATAAATTATTAAGCTGTGAGAGACTAAAGTTCAAATCCCTGCTGTAAACCAGGCAGAGTTGAGACATAAGCCCAGGTGTCCCCCACCTCAGGGAAGTGCTCTAACCAAAAGGCTATAGGATATACGGGGGAGGGGGAGGGAAGGGTTGGTTGTCTGAATGGTGTTTTTGTATTTCCTTTGCTCTTCATAAAAAGCTGGCTAAAATCAAAACAAAGTGTTGAATTCAACCCAAATATTTTTCCTTCAGATATTTGTTTCTCTAAGAAAAGTGAAAAAAAAATTCATTTTGGGTTGATCCAAAACAATTTTTATTTTTCAGTATTGACTGTGTTAATGTCATGCCTTTTGCATGCA